GATAGACATATACTGTAAAACATTTTTTTAAGATAATTTTATGTAGTATATTTCCGTCATACAAAATTTTTATGTAACTTTAACCATTAAGGCTACACACGCGACGGAAACTTAAAAAAGTTAGTAACTTCTCCCGTTTTCCCAATATTTCTCTTCACTGCTCTGCTCTGCCTGCCCAAGAAAATAACGAATAATTGTACCAAGTTTCGTTAAAATCCGTCGAGTAGTTTTTTTTCTATAAGTAACATACAGACAGACAAAAATGTTACTGATTGCATTTTTGGCATCAGTATCGATCACTTATCACCCCCTGGTAGTTATTTTGAAAATATATTGAATGTACAGAATTGAACTCCCTACAGATTTATTATAAGTATAGATAGATGTTAAGTATAACTTTAACAAGATTATTATGAAAATTACTTCAAATTTTTATTATTTAATTGATCGACAAACGAGCCGACGGAGAAATTTCCCCATAAGCTGTAGTATTTGGCTCATTCTAAACTAACTAATTAACTAACCAAGGAGTGGAATTCCTTCCCGGAGTCGGTGTTTCCTGATAGCTACAATCCGGGTATCTTTAAGTCAAGAGTAAATAGGTTACTTCTAGGTAAGCGCACTCCAGCGTCGACCGCATCGTCGCTTTCCATCAGGTGAGATAGCGGTCAAGCGCAAACCTAAAATCTATAAAAAAAAACTTAAAATTTGTAGCTTTTATCCCACCTTTATTATGACTGTGTCTTTTAAAAAACACATTTTACAAGTGTGGGAGAGCCATGCTTCGGCATGAATGAGTCGGCTCAACCGGAGTGACACCACGGCCTCACAGAAAACCGGCGTGAAACAACCACAACGTTGTGTTTCGCCGTGTGAGTGAGGTTACCGGAGGCCCAATCCTTCCCCTACCCCAATTCCCATCCCAATCCCCAAAATCCCAATCCTTAAAAGGTCGGCAACGCACTCGTAACTCCTTCTTTGTTGCGGGTGTCCATGGGCGACGCCGATTGCCTACCATCAGGTAATCCGTCTGCTCGTTTGCCGTTATTATAACATAAAAAAAAAACAAATACATAAAAATTCATATTATAAACAAGCCACCCAGACTCAAAACAACAATTGTGGATCACACAAAGTGTTGTTCCGTGCGGGAATCGAACCCTCGACACGTTGCACAGTAGCCTGTAGCCTATATATCTCTAGTGACATCTCGCGGGGTAGCTTGAGAAATAAACAAGGCTAAAGGTCAAGCAACGCTTCCCAAGCTTCGTATTTAGACGGGTGATCGAATTGGAACATTAAGAAAAAAATGTTGTAATTCCAAAATACGAAGAGCTTTTTACTATTTAATAATTTTGCATTTTTTATTGAAAATATTTAAAATTGTTTGTACTTAATTCAATATTTTTACATTAGCGAGTAACAAATACGTGTTGAATAAGAGTGAAAGCGACGCTCCAGTGACCTCTCCCGGGTGGTTCGAGAAAAATACTTGACTTAGGTTAAGCTACTTTCGTCAAGGCCAGGCATTGGATTGGTGACCATTACCAAATTCATCTTAAATTATTTTAGTATAATATGAAGACTTTAGAATCTTTTTATAATTTAAAATTTAACTAACTTTTGTTTAATTTGCGATATTATTCCTTATTTAATATTTTTACGTTGGCGTACTCGCTCTAACACACACGTGGTCGATAAGAGTAAAAGAGACAGATATACTGGACTTGTGTCCCGATGTCCCTCTCAATGCACCCTGCACTACAAGTACATCAGTATCACTCTACAGTTCGAAACTATCCTCTCATACAACATCATGGAGTATACAGGCCAGGAGTGCCATCTGCGTACCTCTACTCTTGCTCCGGGTTCCACATACCCGACTAAGGAACTACACATTAGACAGAGACCGGCCAGCACCGCTCTCTGATAAACCTGAACCTTTTAAACTGCGATCTCCAACCCGCCTGTCTGCGGAGATTGTGGCAAACCCCTCTTATGTAGAGGAGGGACATACTACAACAGCGGAGATTTTTTTTTATATCTCACTAGCTACTCTCGCGCGGTTTCACCCGCTGCTTATCCCCATTTAATCGTAGCGTGATGTTTTAGCCTACAGCTCTCACGAACATTGTAGCTATCCATCAGTGAAAGAATTATGGCAATCCGACCAGCGGTTCCAAAGATTACCCCCCTACATACAAACTTACAAATTTTTCCTCTTTATAATATTAGTATAGATAAAGCTTGACTAACTAGCAGTCGTATTACCTGATGGTAAGGTTGGCGTTTTATAGTTAGTTAGTGAAGCATGGCTCTCCCACACTTGAAAAGAATTTAGAATAATCAGACTTTTTTCGTATTGATGTAAAAGACATTTTTATACCCTGTCGCTGATGTGGCGCCCTCTATGCATTATATTTCAAAGTTTACAATGTTTCATTCACAGAGATTACTCCTAATTTTTGTACTCTATGTCCAAACGGTAGCGCATCGTCAAACATTCCGTCAATAGATTCTCGACCTTATACCAAAACGATAAAGTTGCAAAACTGTAATTAGTTTTCGACAAATTGGAATGACTCGATCAGCTGATGTCTGAACAAGATGGCCGCCAGTTCTAGGATCCAATCAGATCGAGCTAAATTACTACTGAGAGGAAATCTGCGCGCCTTTTCTCACACACGCGAAAATACGTAAGGACATTTGGTTGTACTTTTCTATTATTTCAATCCTGAATATTAAATTAGCTAAAAGGTTTTTAAATAAATTAATAACTCTTAAATAATAGAGCATAAAATAAGCTTTCATTTGAATATATAATGTTAGAACAAAAGTGTGATAGATTTCGAGAAAATTCACCCCAAAGTTGTAATTCCTGCATCGCGTTATCAAAGTTTTCTCGCTCGGTTTATAGAGGAGCGAATTTTAAGAGGGAACGTTTGGAGGTCCCTTGCTACTCCGTAAATCGGTGTACTAGGAGCCGACCTAAGTCCTAGCAACTGAAATAATGAACAGAACTGTAGAAAGTGAATGACGAAATCAAGAGGATCACGGACCCTCAACCCCGCGGCAGTAGCTAATATGACCTCCCTTTGTCACTCTAAGCAAACATTTTTGGAAAAGGTATTGATATTATAATGATTTTTTATGTATGTACAAGATATTTTCTTTATAATCTCAATCTTTCCCCTCCCCCAAACCATAAACTCCAAAAGGTCGGCCACGCAACTGTAACTGCTCTGTCGTTGCGTGTCTCCATGGGCGGCGCTGATTGCTTACCATCAGACTATGTAATCCGACAGCTCCTTTGCCGACCTATGACATGAAAAAAAAATTATAGGGCGGCAAACGAGCAGGCTTATTACTTACCTGATGGTAAGCAAAACTGTCAGTTTCGTTCCTTGTCAAAAATCGAACAATAGCTACTCTCGCGCCGTTTCACCCACTGCTCGGCACCATTTAATCGTAGCGTGATGTTTTATAGCCTATAGCACTCAGGAACATTATAGCTACCTATCAATGAAAGAATTTTGGCAATCCGACCAGCGGTTCCAAAGATTACCCCCTACATACAAACTTACAAATTTTACCTCTTTATAATATTAATTGCGGATTCCCCCGCTATATGTTGATAAAAAGCTGCCTATGTGTTAATCCAGGGTATCACTTATCTACTATAACAAACATAGATCTATAATATATCCTTACAAACTTTCACAATATAATATTTAAAGGATATTAGCATAAGTAAGATTTATTGACTATGGCGTAGTATATTTACTACGGCGTAGCACATGGACTACGGCGTAGCAATTTGAACTTGGTGCTATATAAGGCAGTGGTTATAATACAGATATAGAGAGAGGAGAGGGTAGACATACCTCCTCCTTTGAAAGGCAAGCTAGGGGTCGCAGTTACAGTGTTTGACTTCACGGTAGCTGGTGTGCAACCTGTCCTGTGGTCAATTCCAGCACGGAACCACAATTTGTGTGATCCAGCCAACCGACTGTACTGATGTCACTATTTACTACATTTTTGTTGTTGCATTTGTTATTGATCTTATAAAAGCGACGTTCGCGTAGAGAGATAAGGTGCGAAAGAGAGGGGAACTGGGAAGTCATCTCTTCTATCTGCGAAGCAATGATGCTCGCAAAAAAACGGGCGGAGCTTGTGGAACTATCCTCATCATGCCCCAGCCACCGCAGTAGGCAACGCTCCGGGCTGCTATACTAACTTTAAACTTCCGCGTTTCATGTACTAACAACATATTATTAAACGTGTATTAAATACCTTCCAAAGTATTTGAAAAATGACTTTTCGTGTAATTTAATTATTAACTATTCGCTTAACAATATCTTGTTAACACTCCGTGCGTCGAGGATTGAGCGAAAATCTCCGGCCACCGTGAGCACGGGTCTGAGGACAAACAAGGGTATCTCGCCGCCCGACCAGAACCAGACCCGAGCGTACGGCGCGTAGCGTTACGCGCGCGCCTCAAAGAGCCAATAGACCACCACAGACGGGGACTTAACAGGGCTGATTACTATCCGGAGGAGAAGGGACAGGCAATGTTTTTGTCAGTAAGACCTCATTTTGGACAAGATAAGTCATTTGATGGCTTTCTCACCCTGAAAAAAAGTCTAGCTAGATGGTCTCTATGGTTGAAAGGACCAGAGCTGGAGCGAAGATCTAGCCAAAAGCAAGCGAAATGAATAAAGAAGTTTAAGTGTGGGAGAGCCATGCTTCGGCACGAAACGAAACAACCACAGCGTTGTTTCGCCGTGTGAGTGAGGTTACCGGAGGCCCAATCCTTCCCCTCCCCCAATCCCTCCTCAATCCCTTAATCTCCAAATCCCTAATCCCTAAGAGGTCGGCAACGTAACCTAACTCCTCCGTTGCGGGTGTCCATGGGCGGCGCTGATTGCTTACCATCAGGTAATCCGTCTGCTCGTTTGCCGAACGAAAAAAAAAAGAAGTGTTTTCTTGCCTTCTTTCAGGTCAAAGAGTTTTTAAGTCAAATCCATCAGCGACAGTCTCCATATTACACGACGAAAAATGTGATGGTCGTGATGGGCGCGCGGTATGCTTACCATGACGCACCGATCTGGTTCGCCAACATCGATAAATTGATTGCGTAAGTTCTTTCTCAATATTCACTTTTACTTATTATTTTATTTTTTCCTAGAATTTGTCAGCGACTCCGTTCGCGTGGAAAAGTGGATTTTTTTACATGAAACGTCGGCAAATAAGCTGACGGATTACCTGATAGTAAGCAAACGGCACCGCCCATGGACTCAACAAAAGAGGAGTTACGTGTGCGTTGCCGACCTTTAAGGGATTACAGATTTAGGAATTAGGGAATGGGAAGAATTGGGCCTCCGGTAACCTCACTCACACGGCGGAACACAACGCTCGCTGAGGTTGTTTCACGCCGGTTTTCTGTGAGGGCCGGTCGGGCCGACCCACTTGTGCTCATGCATGGCTCTCCCACAGAAAAAATTTACATCATTAGCCTATAAGCGTCTACTACTGAACAAAGGCCTCTTCTCACACGGGAAAGGTTTGACCATTAACCACCACGCTTGTTCAAAGCAGGTTGCCGATTTCAAACTTATAATTAGAAATTATAAGGCCTTCCCTTACGATGTTTACCTTCACCGTATGTCAATGGTGTCTAAATAATCATAGAAAGTACATATAACTCGGAAAAAATCACATTTGTACTTGTCAAGCGTGGGAGAGCCATGTCCCGGCACGAATGGATCGACTCGACCAGAGCGATACCACGACCTCACTCACATTATTGTGTTTCGCCGTATAAGTGAGGTCACTAGAGGCCCAACCCTAATCCCTAAAAGGCCAGCAACTCTATACTCTTCTGGTGTTGTCAGTGACCATGGCCAGCGCCGCTAGCTAACCAAAAAGTAAAATGTCTGAATGTTTGTTGTCAATGATATTATAAGTAAAATGGTGTAGATAGGTTATGTTTAGACGTCAAAGTGAGATGGCATGATTCAATAATCGCGAGTGAAAAAGAGACAAATATAAAAAAGTTTGGCTAGATAGCCACATTTTAATGTATCACTTGCTGAGCGCTTGTAACCTACCTACAACTTTTTACTTATAATATTATTGTTTGAAGTCTTAATAAAAAAATATATATCAAGTACTAGCGGCCCGCTCCCGCTTCGCACGGGTCCAACTACCTTGCTATCAAAGGGTCACGTTTTCCTAATCTTCCCTTCTACTTTTCTAATATTTTCTTTGATAAGAACCTTCTCCTGACAATAACCGACACAACAAAAAAAGAATTAGAAAAATTGGTCCAGGCGTTGTTGAGTTATGCGCTTACCAACACATTTTGCGATCCATTTTTATATATAAAGATTATATTTCTTTTTCAGCAATGTCAATTCTAAGCAGGCTTCAAAATCTGGAAAAGTATATTTGTTCTATTCCACGCCAGCTTGCTACCTAAAGGCTGTACACGAAGCTATGTAAGTCACTGAAAACATATTTTTAACACGCTTTTATCGACCTATAACAAACAAATTTTAAACGCGGCCAGCAGTGTGATTCTGTAAGACTTCATTCTAAACTTGGTATCTGAATCCGCTGTGAGTAGTAGTACACTAGCGCTACACTTGCGAGTTGAACTAAATTGACCGCAACATTTTGATAGATAAAGTATGAGATGACGTTCTATAATGTAATTTCCCCGTCACTTCACACTCGAACAAGATTAAAAATCAAACAAATTTTATAGAATCGACGTGCTGTATTCAAAGAGCCGATTTTGGTTTTTACATTCTAAATTAATTATTATGTTTTCGGCTTACTCACGTAATAATTTGACGAGATACTCGACTAGTTTCAAGCCATACTAGAGGCCCATATTCATGAGCAGCATTCCGCGACACGCGACTCGGCGACTGTCGCGCTGCTTCTCGAGTCTGCGCGCCCAACGCGCCCTCTGCCGCGATTCACGCGCACTTTCTTCTATCCGTGGCGTCGGCAGCGACGGCGCGCGCGACACTGTTGGCACGCTAGACTCGCCCGCCTGCAGCTGCGCTGGTGTTGGGTTCGAATCCCGGGCCGACGCAATTATTACGTAAGTAAGCCGAAAATATAATAATTAAGCCGATTTTGGTGTTTATTTACAACAACTTTTTCCATGGGACCAATATCCCTTGCCTCCATGGTTACTCTTTTTAAATCAGTTTCACAATTATAATAGCGCTAACTAAATTTATAAATTTCAGGCAAAATTTAACAACAAAACAGGACGATTTTATTCCTCAAACAAGCGATAAGGACACGCATGCAACTGGCATGTATACTTCACGACCAGTCATCAAGTACCTCGCTAGAGAAGTGCATTTATATATCCAGGTATGTCAAGGACATCCGTACTATTATCTTCACTACACAGTATAAAACAAAGTCGCTTTCTCTGTCCCTATATCCCTATGTACGCTTAAATCTTTAAAACTACGCAACGGATTTTGATGCGGTTTTTAATAGATAAAATAATTGAAGAAGGCAGGTTTATATCTATACTATATTATAAAAACGTAACATTTACTATTTAATGCACAGATAGCGAAACAGTTACAAGTATTGGCTCAACTTGGCAACAACGACAAGAAATTTGAAGAAATTATGTGGATATCAGGTATATAACATACAGATTATAATTCACCAAACTCCAAGCGAACGCCGTCGATTTAAACTTGAAATAGTGCAAAACGGAGAGGATTCCTTGAATTTGTTCGGTTTGAACGCGAAAACGTTTTCATCCCCATCACATAGATGGTCGATGGTCAACTGTGCGATTCACGCGAAACTTTCTGCCTCGCACAGCAAAACTTTGGAATGATCTTCCGGCGGCGGTATTCCCGAACCGATAGACCTTCAGACCTTCAAGAAACGAGCGTACTCCTTCCTAAAAGGCCTGCAACGCGCCTGTGACTCCTCTGGTTCTGCAGGTGTTTCTTTAGACTAGGTTGTCTATCGAGCAGACGGATTACCTGATGGTAAGCAATCAGCGCCGCCCATTGACACTCGTAATATCAAAGGAGTTACTACAAGTGTGTTGTGTACTACCTTTTGAGGGTTGTTAGGGATTTGCAGTTAGGGGATTTGGTATTTGCAGTTATGGAATTTGGGGATTGCGGATGGGGGGGGGGGAGGTTAGGGCCTCCGGTAACCACAATCCCACGACGAAACAACGTAAGTGTTACTTCACGCTGGTCTTCTGTGAGGCCGTGGTATCACTCCGATCGTGGCGACCCATTCGTGCCGAAACATGGCTTTCCCACACTTAAATATGATGATAATCCAATGATCATTTTTTCAGGAGTTCTGCAGGATCATTCTGTCATTACTGGAGGGATGCGTCGCTACGTGACTGAATACTACGCTAGGAAAGCGTATTTAGCTAAAGAAATATGTATGCAGATGTACCGACCGGCATTCAAGTGAGAATTTCGTAGTTATTCAAAAGTCAAGGTCAAAGTCAAAGTCAAAGTCAAAGCCAAAGCCAAAGTCAAAGTCAATGTCAAAGGAGTCATAAAAGTCAAAGTCAAATCATTTAGCATTGGACTGCAGAGTTAGCTTAGTGGCTGCTGTGCAACGTGTCGCAGGTTTAATTCCCGCACGGCACAACATTTTGTGTGATCTACAAATTGTTATTTCGGGTCTGGGTGTGATGTGTATGTAAATTTGTATGTTTGTAAACGCACCAACGATACAGATGAAAATACTAGTATGAGGAAAAGTTTCTTAAGATTACTTCGAATAGACCACTGCTGAAAGTTAAAAACAAAATCATTAAATATTAATTTCTTCTTTAGTGTTAGTTTGTCAGCTATCTTGGTGAAGCTATTTGCTCGTTCCAAAGTGTAGATTCCTATAAAGAAGAACGAGCAGGAAACTCCACAAAAATAGACAAAGAAAAATTTAAAAAGAAACATAACTCAAAGTGAAAATCCACACCTAAAACTTCATAATTCAGATTAATAAATCTTAAAACAGTCCCTTTTGAAATATCAAAATTGAACTCTAGTAATGTAGCTAGGTCGTTCCGAAATTAAGAAGCCGAGTGGAGAAGAACAGACAAAAAACTCTTTCTTCTTTTCGATCTTCTTCTTTTTTTTACGTTGCCCCACATAAGGATTTTCTCCTGTGTCGTGGGTGCGTTTACAAAAATACAATTTTACATACACATCACACCCAGACCCGGAACAACTATTTGTGGATCACACAAAGAGTTGTTCCGTGCGGGAATTGAACCCGCGAAACGTTGCACGACAGCTAGTTGCCCAGCCACCGCATCAACCGTGCAGTCTAACTCTTTTAATGCCCTGCACGTCGATTCTATAAAATTGTTTGATTTTGAATCGTGTTCGAGTGCGAAGTGAGCGTCGAAGTGACGGGGAAATTAAATTTTAGAATGCCATTTTTAACGTCATCTCATACTTTATCTATCAAAATGTTGCGGTCAATTTAGTTCAACTCGCAAGTGTAGCGCTAGTGTACTACTACTCACAGCGGATTCAGATTCGAAATTTAGAATGAAGTCTTACAGAATCACGCTGCTGATGTCGATGATGCACATTAGTTACTAATTCTTTACCTGACTTGATAACCAATCCAGGGAAACCTAGAAACATACTTATAATACTACAAAGAAATTATACCCTTGCTAGCCTATTTGTAGGTATTAATTACTAGCTTTTGCCCGCGACTTTTGTTCGCATGGAACAATGACTTCCGACAGATTTATGGGCTAAAAACTATCCTATGTCCATGCTCGAGTTCCAAACTATGTCTGTACCTCACACAAATCGGTTCAGTAGTTTAGGCGTGAAGAAAAAACAGACAGACAGAGTTACTGACGCATTTATAATATTAAAAGTTTTGATTTTTTTTTCCAGCAATCTACGTAATTCTTCTGGTAAAATGATCTACTATGCATGCCACTTTAATGTTTCCTCTTGTTGGACTCTCGAAGGAGACAAATCTTTCGTAAGTTTATTTCAAATTCTAGTGACAATATCGTCTGGACAGTCCACGCTACCATCAGTTGACTGAACCATCTCTACACTACACGAGTCACTGTTTACATGTCACCATTAGCTCATGACGGTACCTAAGTACGTATCGCCTGGACAGTCCACGCTACCATCAGTTGACTGGGCAATCTCTACACTACACGAGTCACTGTTTACATGTCACCATTAGCTCATGACGATACCTAAGTACGTATCGCCTGGACAGTCCACGCTACCATCAGTTGACTGGACAATCTCTACACTACATGAGTCACTGTTTACATGTCACCATTAGCTCATGACGATACCTTACCTTACCTTTGCATCTGGTTTAGGTAGGATGATATATGGTCACTTAGACCATAATTACATTAACAATAGTTATCATAGTCTGAGTTACAATAAGATAATAGAAAAAATAACTCAGACAGAATATAATGAAAAATCAATATTAGTTTTAATAGTAGGTAACAGTTTAGATGTGAAAAAAAGGGACATTGTGAATGGTGTGGACACTTTATTAAAATTAAAATTGGGAAAAATAATACTTTGTGCATTTCCCTATTCAAGTACCTTAACAGACTCCAAAAATAGACATTTAGGTGTACTTAACAGTACACTACACCAATTGACATGTTGTCATAGTGACAAATTAATTTTTTTTGATACTAATAAATTTATTAGTGATTTTATATTGACAGAGAGAGGCATATCCCTCTCAAACACATATAGAAAAACACTTGCTATGCTAATAGCATTCAATATTAACTCTGTTATAAAAAATATAACAGATATTAGTTTTAGGGACGAATCTGTGCTGTCTAGGCTACCTAACAACACAGAGATAGATTTAAACTAGATTTTAAGACAACAGAACATACCACCATATATAATGTTAGTAGTAAGGTATATTCTGGCAAAAAAAACTTATATCAAATGTTGTTACACAGGCTCAGGGGCAGCACAATCTTATCTTATTTTATATTAATATTCAGGGCTGCTCCTCTAAATTATTTGAATTAGAAATGTTCCTCGAGAAAACACAATTTGATATTGTGTGTTTAGCGGAACATTGGATGAAAGAGGACCAATTAATATCTTTTAATTTTGATAATTATATTGTAATAAGTAATTTTAGTAGAAAATATATGTTACATGGTGGGTCCTTAATTTTAGTTAAAAATGGCATTAAGTCCAAAGAAAGGAAAGATATTGTAGCACTGTCAGTTGAACACACTATTGAGTTGTCCTGTGTTGAGCTGGATAAACATGTTGTTGTTTGTGTTTATAGACCACCTAATTATCAGAATCTTGCAGTGTTTGATTCAGTAATGGAAGATGTTTTGAAGAAGGTATGTTCTAGCCATAAATCAGTACTTGTATGTGGCGATTTTAACATTAATTTATTGGAAAACAATGCAGGCAGCATGGAACTATTAAATTTGTTTGGATCATTTAATTTAAAAAATGTTTTTCTGGAACCGACTAGGATAACACCATCCACTGCCACATGTATTGATAACATTTTTAGTAACAGTAACTATTTAGAAAAAAAAATTTTAAACAGTTTACCTTCTGACCACAGTGGTCTTGTGGTAACTTACAGCACTTATTTGCCTCTACAAAAAATTCAAATAAAGTTTAGACATATTACAAATAGAAATTTAGAGAAACTCAATAATTCAATAGCAACTAAATTAAGTGTACAAAATTTTGATGTCATTAATCCGAGCAAGTTATACGAAAAATTTTTTGCGGTGTTAAATAGGGAATTTCAAGCTATTTTGCCAATGAAATGTAAAGACATCTATTCTAAGTTTCAGTTTAGCGATTGGGCAACCGTAGGTATTCGTAAGAGTAGAGATAAACTTTTTGAACTTTATGGCATGAAACCATTTAATTGCGACCCCCTTTTTCATCAACATGTAAAATTGTACTCAAAAACATTTAGAATAGTATGCAAAGCCGCAAAGCGACTTTTCATCAGTAATAAAATAAAATCAGCTGATGACAAGATAAAGGCTACGTGGAAAATAATACAGAATGAGACAGGTAGGAAACGATTAAAAAATTCGGAATTTTGTTTAAACACTGAAAGGGGACAGATTTCGTCAAGCAAAGATGTAGCTCAGGAGTTTGAGGCATTTTTTGCTAATATACCTGTCTCAACAACTGCTCATTTAGAATCATCAGCTAGACTATCGGTAACTTTGCTTAGAGAAAATGTCAAATCATGCAAAGACGATTTTAGTTTTCATTATACTAATCCTTTAGAGATAATAAAGGTTTTTAAAGAAATCAAGATTAAATCAACTGAGGACCTTTGGGGACTATCGGTGAAAGTCTGCGGATCACTTATCCGAACTTTAGCGCCGTATCTGGCTTTGATTTTCAATAAAAGTATAGATGACGGTGTCTTCCCCAACCTAATGAAATACAGTAAAGTTATTCCATTATTCAAAAATGGTGACACTAAGGAACCAAACAACTATAGGCCTGTGTCTGTTCTACCGGTTCTTAGCAAAGTGTTTGAAAAGTTAATGCTATCTCGGATGCTTCATCACTTTGATAAACATGCCATCTTCCATCACCAACAATACGGTTTCACTAAAGGTCGTTGTACAACTGACGCCGGTGTCACTTTGATAAAGGAGGTATTCGGTGCTTGGGAGGAAGCACAGGATGCTGTTGGTGTCTTTTGCGACCTCTCAAAGGCGTTCGATTGCGTTGATCATGAAACACTCTTGCTGAAATTAGATCATTACGGGATTAGACATACTGCACTCCGTCTACTAAAGTCATATTTAGAGGATAGGCAGCTGAGAGTTCATGTAGGTGGTTCTAACTCACGGGGCTCTGAGATAAAAATTGGCGTACCGCAAGGTTCAATTTTGGGTCCGTTTCTCTTCTTAGTGTATGTTAATGACTTGCCATTTCTATTTAAAACCGAGCCAAGAATGGTGCTGTTTGCAGATGATACATCATTAATTTTTAGAATAGGTCGACGTGTTAATAATTTGGACGAAGTAAACAGCTCCATTCATCGAGTTCATAATTGGTTTACAGTCAATAATTTAGCACTTAACGAGAAAAAAACAAAATGTATTAAATTTAGCTTGCCCAACGTACACAATAATGATTGTGACATAATTTTAAATGGGCAAAAGTTAGAATTTGTTAACGAGACTATGTTCCTAGGTATTACGCTAGACAATAAACTTCAATGGGGTTCCCACATAAAGACGCTTTCGGGAAGACTGAGCTCAGCTGTTTTTGCAGTTAGACAGATTAGACAGCTCACAGACGTGAACACAGCAAGGCTTGTTTATTTTAGCTATTTTCACAGCATTATGTCGTACGGAATTTTGCTATGGGGTCGAGCTGCGGAAGTAGATTCAATATTTATTTTGCAAAAGCGGGCTATCCGAGCGATATATAACTTGTCCCCTCGTGAATCTCTGAGAGAACTATTTAAAACGATAAATATCCTAACGGTACCTTGTCAGTTTATATATGAAAATATTATGTACGTAAGGAAAAATTTGCAATTATTTGAAAAAAGAAGCGATAGACACAATTTTAATACTAGAGGCAAAGATAGGCTGGCTGTGCCACGATTCCGTCTGTCCAAAGTACAGAAATCCTTTATGGGGTTCTGTGTAAATTGTTACAATAAAATTCCAAGAAGTGTATTAAATCTTAATGAACGAAAATTTAAAACTTATATTAAACGCGAATTATGTAGACAGGCATACTACAAACTTTCAGATTATATTGAGGATAAGAATGCCTGGCAGCATGTTGGTTCGGCTCCACTGGACAATTCTCAAATATGTAGTCAGTAGTTATCAAAATTCTCAAAATTATTGAAACCTTGAATGAGTTTATATAGAAGCATTCTTTTGGATTGTGAGTACGCATATGTGAGCGCCATGTACGAAACAACAAAGGATTAAAATTTTAATGATAGATTAAATAGACCATCATTTGTTCCTTTTTATTAACAACTTGTCTCTGCATTGTTCTCACATAGGGGTACAGTAATGTATAAAAAATGTATTATTGATGAATTGTAAAACAAATATTTTTTTTAAAAGAGTAACGATGGAGTTTCTTGCTCGTTCTTCTCCATTCGAAACTACAATTTGGAACGAGCACCTAGCTTCACTGACGAACAGACTGACAGACTACTATTCTATTTTGACGTTTCAAAAGTACCTATTTATGGTTTATTTGGAATAAATGATTTTGATTTGATTTGATTTGAACCTAAGTACGTATCGCCTGGACAGTCCACGCTTCCATCAGTTGACTGGACAATCTCTACACTACACGAGTCACTGTTTACATGTCACCATTAGCACATGACGATACCTAAGTACGTATCGCCTGGACAGTCCACGCTACCATCAGTTGAGTGGACAATCTCTACACTACACGAGTCACTGTTTACATGTCACCATTAGCTCATGACGATACCTAAGTACGTATCGCCTGGACAGTCCACGCTACCATCAGTTGACTGGACGATCTCTACACTCAAGAGTCACTGTTTACATATTATTTGTTTCAGATTGTTGTGTATAATCCGTTGGGGTGGTCAGTCACATTACCGATCAGATTACCTGTCTTCAGAGGAATCTATAAAGTTTACGATCCCAAAGGTATTTTTCATATACACTTACTCCTTTTTTCCTTTTTAAATCAAGAATGTAGGCTCTTGGTGCAAGCTCGCCGCCCGACCAGAACCAACCCGAGCGTACGGCGCCTAGCGTTCCGCGCGCGCCTCAAAGAGCCAATAGACCACCACAGACGGGGCCCTATTAAGGATGTTCAGCCGGGGTTGCGGGGTAAGCGTAATGAGGCACTGCGACCTCGGTTCAGAGCAGGAGAAGGAACAGGGGGTTTTAGTAAGAGTCTGACACTCTCTCTCTCGCTTTACCCTGAGCGGGAGAAGTCATTCGAAGATGTATCCTCGCTCTAATGAGATTTATCAGACATCAGTAGTTATCTAATAGACCTGATGGTTACAATTTGGTGCCGTCCAAAGACATTCGCAACAAAACTAAAAGATTGAAAAGGCATTGTCAATAGTTTTTGAGCTTTTGCTAATGCCATTTACACAACGAAACGTACTTAGCACTTCTGGTTCGTATAAGGCCATGCACTATTTAGCTTGGCTTTGCTTCATTTAATTCTTCGGTTATGTAACAGACACCAATGACTAAATCACGAGTTACGTGAAAGTACAAAGACCTATTTTTTTATGAGGTAGGTCGGTAAACGAGCAGTCGGATTACCTGATGGTAAGCAATCAACGCCACCAATAAGGGATTCAGATATTTAATAGGGATAAGGGTTTCAGATATTTAAGGATTGGGAAGGGATAGGGTTAAGGGAGGGATTGGGCCTCCGGTAACCTCACCCACACGGCGAAACACAACGCTATGATTGTTTCACGCCGGTTTTCTGAGAGGCCGGCCCAACCGGCCCAATAGTTTTTAATATTTAACCTTATTAATTTACAGGTGTAGAACAAAACCACTCTATAATATCAATCCCAGACATCGTTGCATCACTACCTGACAGAGGCGAGTTCCGAACTGAAGACGAACTCGTATTTATAGCAGAAAAGATACCACCATTAGGATACAAATCGTACTTCATAGATCGTATACACATAAGAACTCGAACTAAAAGATCTGTATTAAAAAGGATATTCCAAAAAGACAGTAATAATACCAAAAAATATTATACTAGGCAAACGAATTTTGATAAAACGGATGATAAAGATATGCTAGATGATATACCTGAATATGAGTATTTCGAAGATGTTACTGAGAAAGGGCATGATAAAGTACCCTTAGCTTATGCTCCTAGGGAGTTTTATACTGATGATTTTGCTACCAAGCCACCGATGACTAAAAATGATATTGCAAATAAAATTAGGAATGATTTGAGAAGAACTACCACTTCTCTTCCATCTACCACGTAAGTATTCAATGATCGACATAAGATAAAACTAAGATTTGAAACCGCATAAAAAACACACGATGAAATTGACAAAATTGCCTGAAATTTTTCAATAGTAATCATTGTGAGACATTTAAAATTTATTGAAAATACCAACCTAAAATAATAACTAACTCAGTTGGCTGTGCTGGTATCCGTGACGCGCACTCTGCTTATGATAAGAGTCCCGTTGGTACTTGAAACGAATCACTCAACTGAAACTAGTAGAGCTTTTGCTACATACACAACAGCCAGAGCCGAAACAACCATTAGTGCATCACACAAAAACTTATTTCGTCCAGGAATCAAGCCAGCAACACAGATGAACAGTAGCTGGAATAACAGTATCTATAAGTAGTCATTATTTTTTTTATATCATAGGTCGCAAACGAGCAGACGGATTACCTGATGGTAAGCAATCAGCTCCGCTCATGGACACTCGCAATACTAAAGGAGTTACTACAAGTGCTTTGCCGACTTCTTGTAGGTTATTAGGGATTTAAGGATAGGGGATATGAGGATAAGGAGCTTCATGAACCAATATTAGTTTCAGAACATCAACCTTATCAACATCGACAACAGAAACTGTAACGAAATCAACAACTTCGCCAACCACAAGTCAATCAACGACCTTTCGAACTACGACAGAAGCTCCAACGCAACCCTTGACAAGTACAATGAAATTTGAACCTTATAACCTCTCAAGTACTACACCGGATATAATTGAGTATTATGATGAAGAAACTACCCCTAATCTTGAAGAGAACACTACTCCAGCGTTTGATTTCGAAAATTTTTATCGACGCATGGAAAATTCTGGCTATTACAGCGTTCTGTCCAGCGATAAGTTTATTGAGAATGAGGTTTGTTTTAATTGTTTTTTTTTGGGAAGCGATTGGTGACGACTGTAGATAGGGAGATAGAAAAAAACATTTATCCAGCACAAACAATAACAGATACAAATTAATCTTAATTCTTACCTACATTTTCTAATATGCAAAATTCTCGTGTCACAGTTTTCGTTGCCATACTCTTCCGAAACAGCTTGAGGGATTATGATGAAATTTTTTGCGCTTATCCGGTATCTATGAGAATCGGTCAACATTTATTTTTCATCCCCGTAAATGTTAGCACCCCTAAATTATTATTTTTTTATTTTATAGACATTTTTTTTATTTTTTTCTATTTTTTATGATACAAAATACAACATATAACAATAGACCAGATCTGTAGAGAATCTGGAAATCTGGAAGAGAATCTGTAGAGATTGGGCCCTATAAGGCTGATGTTTAGCCGGGGTTGCCGGGTAAGCGCAATAAGGCCTCGGATTAGAGCAGGAGAAAAATTGAGGGGATGTTGTCAGTATGTTGTCAGTAAGTGTTACACTGTTCTCACATAATGGAACTATCTAAATTAATTATATAACAATGCATTGTAAAAAGTGATTGAAAAAGAGTAACCATCGAGTTTCTTGCTCGTTCTTCTCCATAGGAATCTACACTTTGGAACGAGCAAATAGCTTCACTAGAGGACTGACCGACAGACTGACACATATAAAGTTAAACCTTACGATATCTTTTTTTGCTTGACGTTCAAAAGTGCCTTTTGTGGTCTACTTGAAATAAAGAATTTGATTTGATTTGATAAGAATCAAACACACGCTTGAATTAATTCATATTTTTTTCCCAATTTCAGTATATAACAATAAATGTAAACCAAGACAACAAACTGCTAAACATTCTTCTTTCGAACGGCGTGAATGTAACATTTGACATTCAATTCTGTTACTACGTGTCCGACGATCCAGAGAAGCTGGGCACAACGAAGAAGAGACCGGGAGCCTTCATTTTTAGACCAATGGACTCCCAACCTATTCTAGTGTCAGATATTTACGATGTTAAAATCCTAAAAACAGATATCGTAGAAGAGATCCAAATTCGATATGCGGAATATGCTGGGATCTCCCTAAAGTTGTATAAAGGTCTGCCGACTATTGAGGCGGATTGGGTCGTTGGACCGATTCCGATAGCTGATGAGTTGGGTAAAGAAATATTTGTTAGATATGTGACTGATTTAAATAACGATGGCGTCTTTTATACTGATAGCAATGGACGGCAAACTATGAAGAGGATTAGGGATAAGAGACCTACTTACACACCGACTATTGCTGATAGCACTTCTGCTGTGGCACGTAAGTTTTTCTGATTAGGTTTTGTTTGAGACTAACTTAGTTCAATCTTACTAATATTTCATCATTCATCATCAGCCTATAAGTGCCCACTGCTCAGCAAAGGCCTCTTCTCACACGGAGAAGGTTAGAGCATTAATCACCACGCTTGCTCAATGCGGATTGGCGATTTCAAACTTATAACTAGAAATTATAAGTCCAGGTTTCCTCACGATGTTTACCTTCACCGTTTGTCAGTAGTGTCTAAATAATCATAGACAGTACATATAACTCGGAAAAAAAGTCACATTGGTACTTGCCAGGTTTCGAACCCACACCCTCATGCATGAGAAGCGGGCGCATTAACCTCTGGGCCACCACCACATTATTTACTAATATTACAAATGCGAAAGTTATGATGTTTGAATGTTTGTTACCCAATCCCTCCCCTTCCCCTATCCCTTCCCAATCCTTATATCCGCAACCCCTATCCCCAAAAGGCCGGCAACGCACTCGTAACTTCTTTGTCTCTTTTGAAGCCTCGGGCGGAAGCTAGTATTAAATAATATCTGAAAGTTTTGTATAAAACCAAGTCGCTTTCTCTGTCCCTATATCCCTATGTACGCTTAAATCTTTAAAACTACGCGACGGATTATGATGCGGTTTTTTAATAGATAGAGTGATTGAAGAGGAAGGTTTATATGTATAATGACATCCATTAAATAGTGGACTTTACCTAACCGAAGCCTAACTAGCGATTCCTATAACGAACTCTTTAGCTTAAAAATCCTTCAATCCTGCTAATATTAAAAATTTGAAACTTTGTGAGAATGTGGATGTGTTTTTTATCCTTTCACATTAAAACTGCTGGACTGATTTGGTTGACATTTGGTATTTAGATAGGTAATACCCTGAATTAACACATAGGCTGTTATTTATCAACATACCATGCGGGCGAAGCCGCGGGCGGAAGCTAAGTCTTATGGCATATTATAAACGCGAAAGTGAATAAGTACGGATGTATGTTTGTTACTCTCTCACGTAAACACTACTGAACGGATCTGAATGTAATTTGGCACAGAGATAGATTATAGTCTGAAATAACACATGGAGTACACTTTACCCTAACAGAAACCATAATTTTTATAATAGGTCTTTACCTATGAAATTGCCGTTTTGCATGAAAAAATTTAAACGAATTATTTTATTTGAAATGCGATGAAAATGTAACACTAATCAATAAACAAATGACTACTTTTGGAAAAAGAATCCCATGTTTAAAACAAAATTAATTAGCCTTAGCCTAGCAAAAACTATTTAGATTTGAAATGGCCAGTACTGCAGAACGGCAATTTCAGAGGTAAAGACCTAATTACATTTGACCATTAATTTGTTTTAATAATCATATTTTCCTTTCTAGAAAACATCTATCCAGTTACGTCAAAAATCTACATTGAAGATACAAAGAAAAACATTAGATTTTCAGTCTTCACCGACAGATGTCAGGGCGGCACTTCATTGCTTGACGGTAACATAGACCTATTTCTACATCGACGTATTTTCACTGACGACACTGGCTTCAAAGCTATTTTAAACGAAACGGAATTTTTCCAAGGCCTCATAGTTCGGGGAAAACATTACTTGTATCTGTCCAAAGCCGCTTACCGTCCGAATAAAGTTTTCGAGAAGAAATTCGCCAAAGAATTGGAATTAGGGCCAAAAGTATTCACGTCGATTCACATCTCATATTTTAATATTACATTCGATAATTGGAATGAAAATGTAAATGAGTACACGGCGTTAAAAACCAAACTTCCAATTGGCGTTCACATTTTGACATTAGAAAAATGGAATGACAAATACTTGTTGAGGTTAGAAAATTATTTGGAGAACGCAGATGTCGCTAGAATCGGTTTCAAGAAAGTATTTCTAAGAGATCTTTTTAAGGATTTCGTTATAACTGAAGCTAAAGAGACTTTACTAGGAGGCAACATTTGGTTGGAAGATTATTATCCAATGCATTGGAAGAGAGACAGATTTGTGAAAAATTTCAACGATATCTACGGGAACGCAAGCCGTTTTGAATTCAGTAATGATGAGGAAGTTCAGGTTAATAACAAACCGATTAATTTGGACGAAGGTATCGGCTTGATGCCGCAGCAAATTAGGACGTTTGTTGTTAGTTATGTTCGGAGATAAAAACTATCAGAACTACAGTCAGAATTTTAGTTCGATTCCTGATTTAACATGACCTACTGTCATTTTGTGAAATAATGATACCACATACAACAGTGTAGTGATGAACACAAAAGTCGATAAACAATCAGTGAATCAGTTTCAGGAAGGCATTCAAAAAATTACGGCTACCCAATGGTCTAAATGCGTATCCCATGTTGTCAAAGAAGAGGAAAAAATGAGTAAGCTAGATATGTTAATTGACAATAAAAATCACAGACACAATTCATAATAAATGTTACAGAAAGTAACAGCGATGACGGCGACAATTTATAAAATTTCTGTTTTATTTGTCATGTCCCTTCATGATCACATTTTTTATTAATTTCACACACAATTACAAAAGAAAAGTCTCAGATTAAACTTTAATTAATTGTCAAAACTAAATTATCGGTTCAGAAATATTTTATTTCCTGATAAACTTAGTTTACGAGAGTAAATTTATAAGCGAGAGGAATCGATTCAGAAATATTCGATTTTCACATCGAATAATTTCGCAACGTCACTATTTATTACGTGTCATAACGTTGCAACACTGAAATTGTCAAATCTGGAATGGAATTAAAATTCCGAATATAGGTGTCGCTATCCTATAAACGGTACTATTGAGAAAAAAGAGACGGCTACATATGCCATTAATTGTGCGAGAAAGGGACAGTAGCAACTTGATGTAATTATTTTCTTTTTTAATTTTTAATAAAATTGAAATAGAAAGTCAGTTACCTATGAAATGTTATTCCATCTTTGGTATAATTTGATGTTGTGGAACATTTTCCACGCCATTTAATTGCACAATTGGTCATTATTTTCAACTCTCGCGCGGTTTCACCCGCTGCTCGGCTCCATTTAGTCGTAACTTGATGTTTTATACCCTATAGCACTCAGGAACATTGTAGCTATCTATCAGTGAAAGAATTTTGTAAATCCGACCAGCAGTTTCAAAGATTACCCCCTACATACAAACTTACAAATTTTACCTCTTTATAATATTGGTATAGAAGAATCGGGAGCGCGTGGTGTGCGCACTTTAACTTGCGATTGCCGCTTATGACCTAAAATTTTGTAGTGTATGCTTGTCAAAGCATGCGTTTTGTGAGCGTAAAACGCTGTATCTCCTCTCTACGGTTTTATTCTCTGTTGGAACCAAACCAAAAAATCGCAAATATCCGCTACCTATATGTAGTTCGTATGATAAATGGCTTAATTGTTTAGGAGTTTTTGTACAGTATTATTTGTTTTGTACATAGATTATATTGTAAGCTTACATAATAAAATAAATATATAACAATGATTTTTTGCCTTTTATTTTCCCTGAAATACTTTCATATGCACATGACACACAGACACAGAACAACAATTTGTGGATCACACAAAGAATTGTATTATGCAAGAATAGAATTCACAGTAGTGAGCCTTATCCATTACTAAACATGTCACCACTGGACATGTCACTGGACAATCTCTACACTACACGAGTCACTGTTTACATGTCACCATTAGCTCATGACGATACCTAAGTACGTATCGCCTGGACAGTCCACGCTACCATCAGTTGACTGGACAATCTCTACACTACACGAGTCACTGTTTACATGTCACCATTAGCTCATGATGATACCTAAGTACGAATCGCCTGGACAGTCCACGCTACCATCAGCTGACTGGACAATCTCTACACTGTATGAGTCACTGTTTACATGTCACCATTAGCTCATGACGATACCTAAGTACGTATCGCCTGGACAGTCCACGCTACCATCAGCTGACTGGACAATCTCTACACTGTATGAGTCACTGTTTACATGTCACCATTAGCTCATGACGATACCTAAGTACGTATCGCCTGGACAGTCCACGCTACCATCAGTTGACTGGACAATCTCTACACTACACGAGTCACTGTTTACATGTCACCATTAGCTCATGACGATACCTAAGTACGTATCGCCTGGACAGTCCACGCTACCATCAGCTGACTGGACAATCTCTACACTGTATGAGTCACTGTTTACATGTCACCATTAGCTCATGACGATACCTAAGTACGTATCGCCTGGACAGTCCACGCTACCATCAGCTGACTGGACAATCTCTACACTGTATGAGTCACTGTTTACATGTCACCATTAGCTCATGACGATACCTAAGTACGTATCGCCTGGACAGTCCACGCTACCATCAGTTGACTGGACAATCTCTACACTACACGAGTCACTGTTTACATGTCACCATTAGCTCATGACGATACCTAAGTACGTATCGCCTGGACAGTCCACGCTACTATCAGTTGACTGGACAATCTCTACACTACACGAGTCACTGTTTACATGTCACCATTAGCTCATGACGATACCTAAGTACGTATCGCCTGGACAGTCCACGTTACCATCAGTTGACTGGACAATCTCTACACTACACGAGCCACTGTTTACATGTCACCATTAGCTCATGACGATACCTAAGTACGTATCGCCTGGACAGTCCACGCTACCATCAGTTGACTGGACAATCTCTACACTACACGAGTCACTGTTTACATGTCACCATTAGCTCATGACGATACCTAAGTACGTATCGCCTGGACAGTCCACGCTACCATCAGTTGACTGGACAATCTCTACACTACACGAGTCACTGTTTACATGTCACCATTAGCTCATGACGATACCTAAGTACGTATCGCCTGGACAGTCCACGCTACTATCAGTTGACTGGACAATCTCTACACTACACGAGTCACTGTTTACATGTCACCATTAGCTCATGACGATACCTAAGTACGTATCGCCTGGACAGTCCACGCTACCATCAGTTGACTGGACAATCTCTACACTACACGAGTCACTGTTTACATGTCACCATTAGCTCATGACGATACCTAAGTACGTATCGCCTGGACAGTCCACGCTACCATCAGTTGACTGGACAATCTCTACACTACACGAGTCACTGTTTACATGTCACCATTAGCTCATGACGATACCCAAGTACGTATCGCCTGGACAGTCCACGCTACCATCAGTTGACTGGACAATCTCTACACTACACGAGTCACTGTTTACATGTCACCATTAGCTCATGACGATACCCAAGTACGTATCGCCTGGACAGTCCACGCTACCATCAGTTGACTGGACAATCTATACACTACACGAGTCACTGTTTACATGTCACCATTAGCTCATGACGATACCTAAGTACGTATCGCCTGGACAGTCCACGCTACCATCAGTTGACTGGACAATCTCTACACTACACGAATCACTGTTTAAATTTGAAGTAGGTTGAAAATAAAACAAGAAAAATATTTATAAAAATCATAAAATGTATTTGGTTTTTTCATTCATTTTTCTCTATGTTACATTTTATTACAAAAATAAAATAATACATTAATATAATCTATAAAAATAATTATAATTATATCGAAAAACTATTTTAAATTGAAGACATGATGTGGCTGTAGTCAAGAAGGTCTATTAACAACATGTTTCTGAGTCTCATCATATGCAAAATTGCAGAAGCAATTGTTGTAAAAAACGGCAAAATTGAGATGCTTATGGTATTAATGATGCTTAAGAAGTTGAAAAAGTCAATAATATTTTTAGCCAACCATTTTGTGGAAGCCAAAAAATTCGTAAGGCAACATCTTTTTCACCAGTCCAAATTATATTTTATCAAAACAATATTTAGTATTTTTTTATAATTACAAATCTATATAGGTCAAAGCTTTCTGATTATGTAATATACGTAGGTATTAATAACGTTTCAAACTAATCTTCCAAGTGATCTGTTAAAGCTGTCTTCAACACAAACACCCGGATTTTGAAAGGCTGATCAATGTTAAAATCAATTTAATCTCTTGTCAAGTCATCTGATTGGTTTACTGAATTATCAACAACCAATCAGATGACTTGACAAGAGATTTGACACCTAGTTAGTTGATTTTAACATTGATCGGGCTTTCGGAAACCATTTGTCAGGCAAAGTTTATGAGCTCAGAAAATGGCGCTTATGCGATCTTAGAGATCTTATTTGTATAATTACAGCAAACGTCAAACACAATCAGGTCTATCCGTTGAGATAATTTACTATAAGGGATGATTTTTCAATGGTTAGATAAAAGTTATCTGAGGAATAAAATTGTTGCTGTCACTGTCTTATACAAACATTGTGACGCGACAGCATCATGATTGGGTAGTTTTATTGGTCAAAATTAAATTAATTCGACGTTTCAATACAATAAAAGATTAAAAAATATGTTTTTATAATAACTATCGTGAGACATACTAAATTAACTAAAAATCGCGGGTTACTCACGTGTAAATATTGAGAAAAGCTCTACTAGTTGCGGACGCGGCGACGTCGCGCAGCCTACTGACGTCGCGACGTCACTGCGTCCGCGCACGCTGCTCATGAGGAAGAACCCTTCTGTGGTTCGAAACTAGTAGAGCTTTTCTCAATATTTACACGTGAGCAACCCGCGATTTTTAGTTAATTGATTAAAAAATAATTAAACTTTCATTAATCGATCGATTGATTGAAATAAGTACGCAATTTGACGTAAAAATACTATGACGTCATAAGTCAGTATTTCATACAAATTTCATAGAAAAGTGTCGTTTTTTACATTTGGATAAAAGTATTGAATTTGACTAGTTGGAAACTACCGTATTATTCCCTGGGTAACTTTTATCTAACCATTGAAAAATCAGCCCTAAATGTAAAAAATCTTGGCATGTCTTTTTTTTTTATCTAAAAGTTGTCTAAACAATGTATGTAAAAATGTTTAGTATCAGGTCATTTTACCTAAATAAATCTATGTTAGCTAATAAACTAAATTTAAATAATCTTTGTACCTTCGTATATTGTACAACGTCTTTAATATAAAATAAAAAGACAACAAGATTTTTTAACTTCAGTCAACCACCTAAACTGATAGACCATCGAAAATCACTTTGGAAAATCTCGCGATAAATCAACGCCATTTTATGAGCACAAAAACGACAGCCAACATTCTTGTACAAATAGCAAAAACACTAAAAAAAAACAAAATTTTCGAAAAATATACCCAAAAAATCTTATTATTAAGTTCATACAACAGTTGTGACTTCATAGTGAGTTGATATTTCCATTTTAGGTGATTTGACTAGTGTATGGTGTTGTTTGATTTCGAAATCAGCCAAAAATGTCTTTATTTCCTTACCCTTAATCTTAACAGTCAAATTCTTGGAGTCAGGACTCTTGACTGCTTCAGCAGTTTCTGTCACACCTTCTTTCTTCCAAACCCATTGGTTATATCCATCAGCTGGCCGATGCCCAGCTAATAACATCTCTTCAACTTTCAAAATTTTAATATTCTTAAACAAATCTTGCAGATTTACATTAGCTGATGCATTCTCATCTTCATAGTAATTTTCCAGACGGATCAAAAGTTTCGAATCCCAAGGTTCTAGAGTTAACAGATGTATTCCTTTAGGCAAATCTTTGTCGAGCCACGAAAACTCATTGTCCATAGCTAGCCAATCATCGTATTTAATATTTTTAGCATCAGCGAACAGAAGAATTGGCGGTTGGTGCATTTCAACTACTTCTGCTTTCAAATCGTCTTTACTTTTTGTGATATACACTCTATGTTTTCCTCTAGCAACCAATCCTTTGTCTTTCGCCGTTTCATTCAAAGCTTCACCAACACCAAAAGCATCATCACACAACAATCTCCTATGCAGCATCAGTTCTATTTCTCCATCAGCCATAGAACTGCCTCCCTGCGACCGATCAGTTAAAACGGACAATTTCAAATCATTATTCTTTATATTAATTTGATTTGTAACTGGATAATAATTCCCAGGCACCGGTTCTTGCAGCGTAACGTTCCATTGCGGTCTAAAATCTCTGTTTCTCTTCAACAATTGTCGTCCGTTGGAATCTGTGTGAAATTCACCGTTGTTAACGATTTTCGTCTCGTACTTTACGATGTATTCTTTGCCTATATCGTCTAAAATGGGAATTGGTCCGACAACCCATTCAACTTCGATATAATTATGATTGTCATAAATTTTAACGTCTATATATCCAGCCGGACTTAATTCTACGCGAATTTCTTTGACTATATCCCCTTTAATAATTTCGTTACTAAACGATTCTAGTTTAATTGGTGCATTGCATGCTGGTCGGAAAATGTATGCTCCTGACGCTCTGTGAGCTGTGTCATGGTTGTCGCCGCAAGTGCCCAGGTAATAATACATGTTTATGGAAAAGTTAGCCTTCGAGTGGTCCGAGAAAACGACATTGTTGATGACGCCTGTCGCTTTGTTAACTTCTAGTGTGAAGTGCTGTGAACAATGAGACAAACACATGTTAGAGAGATTATCCTTATACATACATATATATATAGCAAATGACTTCTCTTGGCCCTGTGTGGGGCAACAGAGAAAGTCAGACTCTTACTGACTAAAAACCACTGCGTTTATTCACCTATTCGAGGTGAGGGTTGCGGCTCAGGTTTGACTTAAGATATTGACTCATCATCATCAGCCTATAAGTGTTTTCTGCTGAGCAAAGGCCTCTTCTCATACGGAGAAGGTTAGAGCATTACCATTCACCACGCTTGCTCAATGCGGGTTGGCGATTTCAAACTTATAATTAGAAATTATAAGTCCAGGTTTGTACTCCTTTGCTGTTAGGGCTGTTTATGGGTTGCTTACCATCAGGTATCCTTTCCTATAAAAAAGGAACACAAGAAAAACTCACCTGATTTCCAAGACTGACTACATCATCATCCCCAACTGCTGCATGAGGGTCGTCAGAAAGCATCCTCATTTCTTCCATATTAAACATGACAGGGAAATTAGCCATTTTCGGTTCATTTGTACCTTTAGCTGTGCTCTTTCTATCATCGAATATCTTTTCTAGTTCCATCATTTTTTGATCATGATCATCAGTATTAGCTTTTAAGTCATTGAAATTAGCTGCGTCATTACCTTTATCTGTTTTCCTTGTATTATCATTTAAAATTTGTTTTAGTTCAAGTATTTTTTTATCTTGAGCATTTGGATCAGTTTCATAATGATTTTCAATGTTGATTTTACCGCTTTTTCTTCCATTTTCAGTTAAAATCTTTTCCATTTCAAGTGTTTTTTCACTGTTGTCATTTGGACCGTTTTTAAGGACGTCAAGATTAATAATTCTGTCATATGCATTCGGGATGTCTTGTAGATAAAGTGGTGCATCGGGTATAGGTTGAGTTGTCAAGTATTTTTCATATTCTGTTTTAGATAGATCGTTGTAATTAATGTTAGGCCAAACATTTCTATTAATGTTTGAGTAGAAATCGAATGTCGGTTTGAGATTCCGTTTTGGTCGATTGCTTTTCTTTATGTAGAAGTTTTTGTAGGATAGGGGCTTTAATTCTGTCAGGAAGACAATTTCTTGCGTCGCTCTCGATACCCGTGTCGGTATGCTTTTAACTTTTGTCGATATTGACACCATTTGTGTTTTTATTGAAGCGCCTGTGAAGAAAATTTTGATTATTTTTAGTTTCATTATCTTTATAGTATATTTTGAAAAACGTTGCCTAACACTAGGATTTTATCCTGTGTCGTGGGTGCGTTTACAAACATACAATTTCACATACACATCACACCCAGACACGGGACATAAATTTTTGGATCACACAAAGTGTTGTTCCGTGCGGGAATCGAATCCCCGACACGTTGCACAGCAGCCAGTTTTCCAGCCACTGCGCCAACCGTGCAGGCAATTATTGGAAAAAGTTTAAATCAAAAATGTATTTAAGCATTAAGTCTGCGTTTGCATTAAGAATGTGCATAAAGTGTTAAAATAAATAAATAAATAAGTATGGGAGAGTCATGCTTCGGCACGAATGGGTCTGCTCGACCGGAGTGATACCACGGCATCACACAAAACCGGCGTGAAACAACCACAGCGTTGTGTTTAGCCGCGTGAGTGAGTTTATCGGAGGCCTCCCCCTACTCCAATTCCCAAATCTCCAAATCCCTTTACCCCAAAAGGTCAGCAACGCACTCGTAACTCCTCTGTTGCGGGTATCCATGGGCTGCGCTGATTGCTTACCATCAGGTAATCCGACTGCTCGTTTGGCAACCTATTACATAAAGAAATAAGTATAAAAAAAACTTACCACCGGGTCCAAAGACCTCGTATGTACCATCAGTTACAGGAATCCTAATAGGTTCTTTGACAGACCAACCTAAAGGATTATAAATAGTTACCTGAAAAAAAAACAATACATGAGAAAATCTCTTTTGATCATCAAATGACTTCTCCCGCCCAGGGTGAGGCGAGAGAGAGTGTCAGACTCTTACTGACTAAAAACCCCTCGTTCCTTCTTGCTATAGGCCGAGGCCGCGGTGCCTCATTGCGCTTACCCCTCCACCCCGGCTGAACATCATCCCTATAGGGCCCCGTCTGTGGTGGTCTATTGGCTCTTTGAGGCGCGCGCGGAACGGTACGTGCCGTACGCTCGGGTACTTATTTTATATATACTATGGTCAACGATAATGGCTTTTTTAAAACAGTAAAGATCGAGTTTCTTGCTCATTCTTCTCCATTCAAATCTACAATTTGGAACGAGCACCTAGCTTCACTAACGAACAGACTGACAGACTACTATTCTATATAGACGTTTCAAAAGTACCTATTTATTGGTTTAGTTGAAATAAATGATTTTGACTTACTTACTAATTTAAAAAAAAAAAAACGTTGCTCCAAACTAGGGTTTTCTCCTGTGTCGTGGGTGCGTTAACAGACATACAATTTCACATACACATAACACCCAGACCCGAAACAACAATTTGTGGAACACACAAAGTGTTGTTCCGTGCGTCAAATTCAATACTTTTATCCAAATGTCAAAAACTATACTTTTCTATGAAATTTGTATAAAAAACTGAGATATGACGTCATAGTTTTTTGGCGTCAAATAGCTTACTTATTTCTTAAAAATTAGCTAAAAAGTATCTAAAATTCAGTGTATCGATCGATCGATGAATAAAAGTACCTATGGTTATTTTTCAATATTTTATTGTATTGAAACGTCGAATTAATTTATTTTTGACCTAGGACACTACCCAATCGCCCAGCCACCGCACCAACCATGCCGTCCATTTTTTTTTATGTGATAGGTCGGCAAACGAGCAGACGGATTACCTGATGGTAAGCAATCAGCGCCGCCCATGGACACTCGCAACGGAGGAGTTACGAGTGCGTAGCCGACCTTTTAGGGATTAGGGATTTGGAGGTTTAGGGATTGGGGAAGGGGAAGGATTGGGCCTCCGGTAACCTCACTCACACGGCGAAACACAACGCTGCGGTTTTCTGTGAGGCCGTGGTATCACTCCAGTCGAACCGACCCATTCGTGCCGAAGCATGGCTCTCCCACACTTGAAATCTATATAAGTCTATAAATATAAAATAGAAAATTAATTACTTACAACAAAACTATCGCTGCTTTCAGAGACCTCACAGCTGGATTCATTCAAATGACATCTTTGGAAGTCAAATATAGGCTTACTATTGCTATCCTTAGTAACCATTTTACTGAAAAAAAAAAAAATATGCCACATAAAACAATATAAAAACATATTCGTTTGCTAAACAGAAAAGAGGCCTAACTCAAAAAATTGTGTATTTCAATCTTAAAAATTATGCTTCAATAATAAGGTTCAATTTTGGAATATCCTCATTTTTGAGTTAGTCCTTTTTTCTATTTAACATGCGATAACTAGCAGCTCGCTCCTACTTCGCGCGGGTCTCATCATCTCGCTTACGATGAAAGAGTCCTTATTACACAACTCTCCCCACTACTTTTCTAAAAATTTCTTTCATAAGAACCTTCTCCTCACAATAACAAAAAAAGAATCAGTAGAATTGGTCCAGGCGTTATTGAGTTATGCGCCTACCAACATATTTTGCGATTCATTTTTATATAAAAACTAGCGGCCCGCCCCCGCTTCGCACGGGTCCGACTATCTCGCTGTCAAAGGGTCACTTTTTCCTAATCTTCCCCTCTACTTTGCTAATATTTTCTTTTCTAAGAACCTTCTCCTGACAATAAAACACATAACAAAAAAAGAATCAGTAGAATTGGTCCAGGCGTTATTGAGTTATGAGCTTACCAACATATTTTGGAATCCATTTTTATATATAAGACATATATAATAGGTACAGAAACAAACATTAGAATAATTATTACATAATATTATCATGTTAAGAATACAGATTACACATAATTATAAACCTTTGTTTTGTCAGGGTAAAATCATCAAATGACTTCTCCCGCCCAGGGTAAGGCGAGAGAGAGTGTCAGACTCTTACTGACTAAAAACCCCTGTTCCTTCTCCTGCTCTGGGCCGAGGTCGCGGTGCCTCATTGCGCTTACCCCGGCTGACATAATTATAAACCTGAGGTCCTATTATAACTGTCGACAGCATTTAATATGTGATATTAAACCACATCATCAGTCTATAAGTGCCCACTGTTAAGCAAAGGCCTCATGTCACACGGAAAAAGTTTGAGCATTAACCACCACGCTTGCTCAAGGCTGATTGGCGATTTCAAACTTATCTATACTACTTTGTAAGTTTGTATGTAGGGGATAATCTTTGGAACCGCTGGTCGGATTGCCAAAATTCTTTCACTGACAGATAGCTACAATGTTACTGAGTGCTATAGGCTATAAAACATCAGGCTACGATCAAATGGAGCCGTGCAGCGGTTGAAACCGCGCGAGAGTAGGTTGTACTTAGATATTTTAGGTCCAAGTTTTCGCACGACCTTTTCCTTCACCGTATGGTGTCTGAATAATCATAACTTAGAAGTTAAAAATCATTTAATCTAGGTCATTTCGTCACGTGATGTTATGCCAAAGAATGCCGTGTCAATTTGTTCGTCTATCTTTATAGTAGGTATATATAAAAATAGATCGCAAAATGTGTTGGTAAGCGCATAACTCAACAACGCCTCGACCAATTTTGCTAATTCTTTTTCTGTTGTGTTTGATATTGTCGGGAGAAGGTTCTTATCAAAGAAAATATTAGAAAAGTAGAGGGGAAGATTAGAAAAAACTGACCCTTTGATAGCGAGATAGTTGGATAAAAAGATAAAAAGATAAAAAGATAAAAAGATAAAAAGATAAAAAGATAAAAAGATAAAAAGATAAAAAGATAAAAAGATAAAAAGATAAAAAGATAAAAAGATAAAAAGATAAAAAGATAAAAAGATAAAAAGATAAAAAGATAAAAAGATAAAAAGATAAAAAGATAAAAAGATAAAAAGATAAAAAGATAAAAAGATAAAAAGATAAAAAGATAAAAAGATAAAAAGATAAAAAGATAAAAAGATAAAAAGATAAAAAGATAAAAAGATAAAAAGATAAAAAGATAAAAAGATAAAAAGATAAAAAGATAAAAAGATAGAAAGATAAACAGATAAAAAGATAAAAAGATAAAAAGATAAAAAGATAAAAAGATAAAAAGATAAAAAGATAAAAAGATAAAAAGATATTTTTTTTGTTTTCAGTTAACTCCTTTGTTGTTACTTGTGTCCATGGGCGGTTCTGATTGCTTACCATCAGGTAATCCGTCTGCTCGTTTGCCTACCTATGAAATTAAAAGAAAATATGTAAATAATGTAAACTTACTTGAACGCTTGCTTAGCTATGATGATAGCATCATCGATAGCTTGGCTCAACAGTCTTTCATAGTCATGTGTAACATGCTGTTTTTCCGTCCCAGTAATAGCATCGTGATGTTGCATTACCCCTGTAAATAATACAATAGAAATAAACAAGTGTGGGAGAGCCATGCTTCGGCACGAATGGGTCGGCTCGACCGGAGCGATACCACGGCCTCACAGAAAACCGGCGTGAAACACACACAACCACAGCGTTGTGTTTCGCCGTGTGAGTGAGGTTACCGGAGGCCCAATCCTTCCCCTCCCCCGATCCCTCCCCAATCCCTAAATCTCCAAAACCTTAATCCCTAAAAGGTCGGCCACTCACTCGTAACTCCTCCGTTGTGAGTGTTCATGGGCGGCGCCGATTGCTTACCATCAGTTAATCCGTCTGCTCGATTGCCGACCTATTACATAAAAAAAAACAATTTATATTAAGAGCTGATTTTTCAATGGTTAGATAAAAGTAACCTAGGGAATAATTATGATGCTGTCGCGTCACAATGTTTGTATAAGACAGTGACAGCAACAATTTTATTCCTTAGATAACATTTATCTGACTATTGAAAAATCAGCTCAAAAACTAGAAACATCTTTAGATTATTTTGTTTGTTATTTTTGTTGTGTTTATATTTTATTGTATTTTTATTAATTGTATGTTAATCTGTACTACTATATAAAGAGGTAAAATTCGATTTTAAAATGAATACGTATAATCTATACTAATAATATAAAGAGGTAAAATTTGTAAGTTTGTATGTAGGGAGTAATCTTTGAAACCGCTGGTCGGATTGCCAAAATTCTTTCAATGATAGATAGCTACAATGTTCCCGAGTGATATAGGCTATAAAACATCACGCTACGAGCAAATGGAGCCGTGCAGCGAGTGAAACCGCGCGAGAGTAGCTAGTGAGTATATGTATAATTACATGTGTATGAACTCACCCATAGCACTTTTCAGTTCATTCAAAACAAACTCGTTGTGTTTGTCTAAATTTGCCAAAACTTGCAGCTGTTTCATACTCTGAAAACAAATAGTCCAATATTAATATTTTATAATGTACCGTAGCTCCAGCTCGGACGGGCGTTGGGAATCAAGGGACGATCTCCGGCCACCGTAAGCGCGGGTCTGTGGTCGGCGAGTAAGGGCAGCTCGCCGCCCGACCAGAACCAGGCCCGAGCGTACGGCGCTTAGCGTTCCGCTCGCGCCTCAAAGGGCCAATAGACCACCACAGACGGGGCCCTATAGGGCTGATGTTCAGCCGGGGTTGCGGGGTAAGCGCAATGAGGCACCGCGACCTCGGCCCAGAGCAGAGGAAGGAACGGAGGGGATTTTTAGTCAGTAAGAGTCTGACACTCCCTCCCGTTCGGCCCTGGGCGGGAGAAGTCATTTGATGATTTTCCCCTCACAAAAAATTAAAATAAAAAAAGCCCCGGCTCGGACCAGCTATACTATTCTCAAAAGTTAATTTGCGAAATTACTTCTGAACCCGCGGAGAAATCATGTTTATTTAAAGTTTCTTATAGGTACTCATATAGAGTGAAATTTACATTGGCGCCACCATGTGAATAACGAGGTGAAAGGAACTAAAACAAGTGAGTATTTTGACGTTTGTGTACAAGCGAGATTCTCATGCATGAAGTTGTGGGTTTCGAAACCTGGCAAGTACCAATGTGACTTTTTCCGAGTTATATGTACTTTCTATGATTATTTAGACACCACTGACATACGGTGAAGGTAAACATCGTGAGGAAACCTGGACTTGTAATTTCTAATTACAAGTTTGAAATCGCCAACACGCATTGAGCAAGCGTGGTGATTAATGCTCTAACCTTCTCCGTATGAGAAGAGGACTTTGCTCAGCAGTGGGCACTTACAGGCTGATGATGATGATGATGATGACTGTAGGAGAAGGAACGGGGTGTTTTTTAGTCAGTAAAAGTCTGACGGATATAGGAATATAGGGACAGAGAAAGCGACTTTGTTTTATACTATGTAGTGATTATTACCTGTAGATAATTGTTGCCTTCTCTCTCGAAGTACTTTGTTGTGGGTCTAGATGTAAAGTATCCTGTCCAATAAGCGGTCGGATCACTTGCATATGGGAAGAAGTCATCCCGCTTTGTGGGTAGAGTCGGGCTGAAAACAATTGTCACATCAAGTCAATCAATTCTTTTGTTTTTTACAATGTTATAGGTCGGCCAACGAGCAGACTGATTACCTGATGGTAAGCAATCAGCGCCGCCCATTGACACCCGCAACAATGGAGGAGTTACGAGAAAGTGCGTTACCGACCTTTTGGGGATTAGGAATTTGGAGATTTTGGTATTAGGGGGGGAGGATTGAGTCTTCAGTTACTTCACTCACACGGCGAAACACAACAATGTGGTTGTTTCACGCCAGTTTTCTATGAGGTCGTGGTATCACTCCCGTCCCATGAAACACGGCTCACCCATACTTACTTACTATAATACTTACTTTAGAAAACATTTATATTCATTAAAATTCATTTAAGTTCTGGTATAACATATCTTTAAAAAAAAAGTTGCCCGACATTAGGATTTTCTCCTGAGTCGTGGTCGCGTTTACAAACATACAATTTCACATACACATTACACCCAGACCCGGAACAACAATTTGTGGATCACACAAAGAGTTGTTGTTGTTGTTGTCAAGTATCTAATTATAAAACACTTACTTGGCCTCCTTAACTGATTTCAAATAACAATTTGGCGTGGAATAAAACACAGATATATTCATGCCATCTTTAGCTGCTTTCAAATTTGAGTATCTGAAAATGTCAATAAAAATCATTAATAATGAGACAAAGACGAAAGCTCCCAGACTCTAACGACTGTGTTTTAAAAACATTAATAACGCTAAATCATGCAACGTCACTTAAAGTAACATCATTTTATATTAAGTCACTTGACGTGACGTCACATTATGTCATATGACATTAAGTTACGTGACGAGTCATGTTAGGTGTTATACAATGAAAAAGCATTAATAAAAATAAAAATGACGAAAGCTTAAGAGAATGATAGAGTATGAAATATAATAATAAAGCGAGTCTTGCAAACTGGGTGCATGTTATTTTACGCTAAATCATGCAACATCACTTAAAGTAATATCATGTCATATCAAGTCACTTGACGTGAGGTCACATTATGTCATATGACATTAGGTGACGTGATGTCCGGCTATGTCATGATGTCATGTCAAGTAACTTGAAGTCATGTTAGGGGTCATCCATAAAGTGCTACACACGTAAAGGGAGGTGGCGGGGGGGGGGGGGGCGGCGACAAAGTGACAAAGAGTGGGAAGGGTAAGGGAAAATATTTTCGACTCTGTCATTAGGATTAAATTGTTTTGTTGACGAGTTCATACACACTAGGAAAGGGAGGTGTCTGAAAAGTGACCACCTACTTTTTTATGTGATAAGTCGGCAAACGAGCTTTTAGATTACCTGAAGGTAAGCAATCAGCGCCGCCCATGGACACTTGCAACATCAAAGGAGTTACGAGTGCGTTGCCGGCTTTTTAGGGATAAGGGTTTCGGATATTTAAGGACTGAAAAGGGATGGGGGGACATTATGACAAAGATGGGGGTGTGGATCAAATAATCATGAAATGCATGTGACTTTATGGATGGCCCCTTAGGTTATGTTATGTAAAGAAAATATTATATATCTTACTTAATTAATTTGTCAAGATTTATATACCACATCGAAGCATCTTGATATGTAAAGTCTCCGCCCATTGTGACAATGACATTATTAGTTCTATAATACCTCGCTTCATTCTTAACATAGTCTAGAAATACTGGAATCTGTAAATAGAACTTGCAGTTTTAACAGGGAGATATAAGGGTCACTATTCGTTGTACAAAAATGGTACTTAATACATTATAATAATTATTATTTAAAAAAATCAACGAAATGAAAAAATGTTTGTTAAGAACGGATTACTTCAAATTTAGTTAGATTATAGTCGATTACGTAGTTTTATCGCCAAACAATTGAAATTAAGTGAAAATTAAAAATAATATATATGTATGGATTGATGCCTGTCTGACTGCACGGTTGGCGCGGTGGCCGGGCAACGTTTCGGCTCAATTCCCGCACGGAACAACTCTTTGTGTGATCCCCAAATTCCTTAATTACTCCAAATGTTTTATAGCCTATAGCATTCAGGAACATTGTAGCTATCTATCAGTAAAAGAATTTTGGCAAGCCGACAGAACAGCAGTTCCAAAGATTACAGGCTAATACAAACCTCTTTATAATATTAGTATAAAAAAAATAGATAGTACAGCGGTATTAGATTTTGACGTGTAAAAGTGCCGTTTTATGGCCTATTTGCAAAAAATAAATTCATTGTTTAATAAACAAATGGTAATGATATTTAATATCCAAGTTCGATAATTTTTGGTTAACCTTTCGTATGTTTTAAACGTGGTACCACGCGAGACACAATGTATTTTCTATTGTGTCTTATAAACCGACATACAACGGGTTAAATAATATCAAATATTTTATAGTGTGACTAGTAGTGACAGATAATATCATGAGTACAATATTCACGATAACAAACAACTTTCCCAATGAAACTTGGGCCAAAAAACCATGCTTAGGCACGAATGAGTCGGCTCGACCGGAGTGATACCACGGCCTCACGGAAGAACGGTGTGAAACAACCACAGCGTTGTGTTTCGCCGTTTGAGTGAGGTTACCGGACCCAATCCTTCCCCTTCACCAATCCCTAATTTCCCAAATCCCTTATCCCTAAAAGGTCGGCAACGCACTCGTGACTCCTCCGTTGCGGGTGTCCATGGGCGGCGCTGATTGCTTACCATCAGGTAATCCGTCTGCTCGTTTACCGACATATTACATAAAAAAACTATAATACAAGTGTATAAATATCGGTCACTAATTGCCAGTCGCCCTTTATACATATAATCTGTGGGAGATAAATTAATTGGGTCATATTATTTTGTTTGCTTCAAATATAATATGTATGTGGCTACTTATTTCTTAATAGAGTCGTTTTTAGTCACTAAGAGTCAGTGAGGGCATTTTGAGTGACAGTAGGTCGGGCGGAAGCGAGTGTCAGACTCTTACTGACTTGAAAACCCCGCTCCCTTCTCCTGCTCTGGGCCGAGGTCGCGGTGCCTCATTGCGCTTACCCCTCCACCCCGGCTGAACATCAGCCCTATAGGGCCCCGTCTGTGATAGTCTATTGGCTCTTTGAGGCGCGCGCCGTACGCTCTGGGACCGACAGTAGATGACATTAACAAAAGTGACGGTCACAAAAATTCGCCATCAGAGGAGGGCCTTATGGTATATAAATCTTGACAAAATGGCCAAAAAGAATATGAAATTCGTTGACTCCCACCTTCATAACATGTTAAGAGTGCAAAAACTGTATTATTTGATGAAAAAGCTAAGACCGTGCAATGAAAAGCAAGTCATGCAAGCAACCACACTGAAGGCTCTTAAAGACTCTCTTTAAAATATAATAGATATAACTCTATCTTTAACAATAGAAAAATATCACTACATAGTATAAAACAAAGTCGCTTTCTCTGTCCCTATATCCCTATGTACGCTTAAATCTTTAAAACTACGCAACGGATTTTGATGCGGTTTTTAATAGATAGAGTGATTGAAGAGGAAGGTATATTTATATGTATAATGACATCCATTAAATAGTGGAGACATTTAGTATCAGCATTGCATCGACAAAATACAATCAAATTCTAACATTATAAACGCGAAAGTGTGTAAGTACGGATGTATGTTTGTTACTCTCTCACGTAAACACTACTGAACGGATCTGAATGTAATTTGGCACAGAGACAGGTGATTTGAGGATAAAGGATTGGAATTTTTATTACTTATAACTTTCGTGAGACATTCTAAATTAATTATTATGTTTTCGGCTTGCTCACGTAATTGTTTGACGGGATACTCGACTAGTTTTATGAGCAGCATTCCGCGATACGCGACGCGGCGTTGTCGCACTGCTATGAATGAATATGGGCCTCTACCATGGCTTGAAACAAGTCGAGTATCTCGTCAAACAATTACGTGAGAAAGCCTAAAACATAATTATTAAGAAGATTGAGATCTTCGGTAACCTCACTCACACGGCGAAACACAACGTAAGCGTTGGTTCACGCCAGTTTCCTTTCACTTAAGCATAGCTAAAAAATTTTTTTATGGCATAGCTCGACAAATCAGCAGACGGGTTACCTGATGGTAAGCAGTCAGCGCCGCCCGTAGACACCCGCAACACCAAAGGAGTTACGAGTGCGTTGCCGGCCTTTCAGGGATAAGGGTTTCGGATATTTAAGGATTGAAAAGAGATGGGCGGAGGGGAAGGATAGGGCCTTCGGTAACTTCACTCACACGGCGAAACACAACGCTGTTTTTTACACCAGTTTTCTGTGAGGCCGTGGTATCACTCCGGTCGAACCGAAGCTTGGTTCTTCCATACTAAAAACTGCAACTGCATGTGCATTTTAAGCAAGAAAACATGCAGAAAGTATCATGCAGGACTCACTCGATTAGCTTGTCCAAGTTTCTAAACCACATCGCAGCATCTTGGTAGTGGAAGTCTTCGCCCATGGTCAACAGAATATTACTGGTCTTATAAGCTTTGGACATGTTCGTGCAAATGTCCAAGAAATTCATTATCTTCAACAAAGAGAAAAATATTTTGAAGAGACTACTTAGTCTAAAAAGAAATTTAGCTCTGCCGAGGTTGCGGGGTAAGCGCAATTAGGTACCACGGCCTTGGCCTAGAGTAGGAGAAGGAACGGGGGGATATTTAGAGGTGGGGATGTAGTTTAGAAGAAGGAGAAGAATATAGGATTGGGTTGAGTAGGTAAGGTAAGGTAAGTAAGGTAGAGTAGATACGGTATGGTATGGTAAGGTATGGTAAGGTATGGTAAGGTATGGTAAGGTATGGTAAGGTATGGTAAGGTATGGTAAGGTATGGTAAGGTATGGTAAGGTATGGTAAGGTATGGTAAGGTATGGTAAGGTATGATAAGGTATGTTAAGGTATGGTAAGGTATGGTAAGGTATGGTAAGTTATGGTAAGGTATGGTAAGGTATGGTAAGGTGTGGTAAGGTATGGTAAGGTATGATAAGGTGTGGTAAGGTGTGGTAAGGTATGGTAAGGTATGGTAAGGTATGGTATGGTAAGGTATGGAAGGGTAAGAAGGGTATGGTAAGGTATGGTAGGGCAGATAGGGTAGGTAGGATAGGGCAGGTAGGGTAGATTTTTTTTTTTTTTGTATCGGGTTGGAAAATCCTTATGAGACCCACCGCCCTCGGAAAAGGGCGAAGGGTACAGTCAGGGTACCTATTTAGGGTAGGTAGGGTATCGTAGGGTGTGGTGGGTAGGCTAGGGTATGGTAAGTAGGGTAGGGTATGGTGGGTAGGGTAGGGTAGGGTATGGTAGGGTAGGGTAGGTAGGGCATTGTAGATGGGGTAGGGTAGATACCCTACCCCATAGGTGCACATTACATATGAGGCCCAACATGGCCAATGCTTAGCCTGGGCCGCGGGTTAAGCGTAGTAAGGTACTGCGGTCTTGGCTTAGAGTAGAAGGAAAAACGAGGGGTTTTTAGACAGTAAGAGTCGGACACTCTTTCTCGCCTTACCTTATCCGAGAGGAGTCGTTTGATGATTTCTCATATATGTATAAACAACTATATACTATTATATGAACTATGTATTATATTTGTTTGTTCTTTCCTTTCACGGGACCACAGGGTCCCGGACCTTTGGAAGGCGTACGAGGAGCCGAAGCCAACTCGCTGAGGCCCGTTGAACAGTTTTAATCTAAATGTGATGGGACATCAGCCGGCAATTATCCCTGTATGCACTATATATTATTATTATTTCTGATAATACAATATGAGTTCTGATCTACAGTATAAGATCTCTTTTCAATAATCTCTTCTTTGATAAATTTAAACCATCTCCCCTCCATCTTCCTTCTCTTTCTTCCCTTTTGAAATTAGACGTCTAAAATAGACAAACTATAATTTGATTTTTTTTAGTATGGAATCCTACTTTAGTTAAATTTATTATTATAAACGCAAAAAATTATGAGAACATCTTGTGTGTATGTTTGCTGACCTTTTACACAAAAACTTCTAAACGGATTTAGATGAAACTTTGCACAGAGATAATATATCATAGTCTGGAATAACATATAGGCTACTTATCATCTGTCTAACGCGAACGAAGCTGGTTAGAGAAGCTAGTCTATAAAAATAGCATAATTATAAAAAAATCACAAAATAGAGCTATATCTATGTATGTATATATGTATATTAAAGAAAGTCGTGTTAGTTACACTATTTAAAACTCAAGAACGGCTGAACTGATTTCGTTGAGAAATGGTGGGGATGTAGTTTAGAACCAGGAGAAGAACATAGGATAGGGTAGTTAGCGCAGTTAGGGTAGATAGGGTATGGTAGGTAGGGTAAAGTAAATAGGATAAGGTACGGTATGTAGGTAGGGTAGGGTATGGTAGGTAAGGTAAAGTAAATAGGGTACGGTATGGTAGGGTAGGTATGGAAGGGGAAGGTATGGTAGGGTAGGTATGGTAGGGTAGGTATGGTAGGGTAGGTATGGTAGGGTAGGTATGGTAGGGTAGGGTAGGTAGGGTAGGGTAGGTATGGTAGGGTAGGTATGGTAGGGTAGGTATGGTAGGGTAGGTATGGTAGGGTAGGTATGATAGGCTAGGTATGGTAGGGTAGGTATGGTAGGGTAGGTATGGTAGGGTAGGTAGGATAGGGTACGGTATGGTAGGGTAGGTAGGATAGGGTACGGTATGGTAGGGTAGGTAGGGTAGGGTAGGTATGGTAGGGTAGGTATGGTAGGGTAGGTATGGTAGGGTAGGTATGGTAGGGTAGGTATGATAGGCTAGGTATGGTAGGGTAGGTATGGTAGGGTAGGTATGGTAGGGTAGGTAGGATAGGGTACGGTATGGTAGGTATGGTAGGGTAGGTAGGATAGGGTACGGTATGGTAGGGTAGGTATGGTAGGGTATGTAGAATAGGGAAATTAGGGTAGAGTAGTGTAGGTAATCAAATGATGGGAACGAAACCGTAGGTGAAAAAAGCTAGTCTCTCATATTACTCAACAAAACAAGCAAACAGAATGCAATTTTGGCAAAACAATATATGTACATATACTTAACACTAACTTACTCGATGAGTTTATCTAGATTTTTGAACCACATCCCAGCATCCTGGTACTGGAAATCATCTCCCATTGTTAACAATATGTTTTTAGTCACATAGTGCTGAGACATCGTCCGACATATTGACAAAAAATCGTCCACCTATTTAGAAGAGAAATGTGAAGATTCAATCAGATATAGGTCGGCAATAGAGTAGACGGATTACCTGATGGTAAGCAATCAGCGCCGCCCATGGACACTAGCACCAATATAGGAGATACGAGTACGTTGCCGACGTTTTAGAGATGAGGTATTTCGAGAATTTGAGACTGGGGGAGGGGAAGAATTTGGTTCACACGGCGAAACACAACGCTGTGGTAGTTTCACGCCGATTTTCTGTGAGGCCGTGGTATCACTCCGGTCGAGCCGACCCATTCGTGCCGAAGCATGGCTCTCCCACACTTAATTAAAAGTATTAGAAGTTGCCACGTAAAAAACCTGGTAAATATTAAGGCTTGAAAATTATTTCGTTGCCAATGACTGACCTATTATGCTAATCTTCCGGGTGAGAAAGAGGGATGGAGCTATGAAAGTTGTATAGCTCCTCCCTCTTTCTCGCACGAAAGATTCCCGCTCTAACACGTCATGGTAGGCCCTCTGTTTCCCTTGTAGTAATGCTAGCGGGTATAGGAGATTTACAAATGACGATTTAAACCAGGCCAATTTAGTTCCAGTACAAAATTGTAAACATGAAATAGTCCGAGCGTTGGCTACTAGATGGCACCACTTGTAACGTTGATTCTGAAGACTTAATTCAAACAAAATCTGTTAATTATTACATGAAAAGTAGAATTAATAAATTTAATGATATATCACATTGGAGTGTTTTAATTAGATTAAAGCCTTAAAGGATTTACAACAAGATCCCTAGATCAATTAAAGAAAAAAGTGATGTCCATGATTTTAAACAAGCCTTACTTAAACTATTATTTGAAAAATCATATTATACTATAAACGAGTACCTAACTGATGCATTGTAATGTTTTATCTTAGATTATTTTAGAATTGTTTTTTGGAGGTTTCACGCAATTATAGTAAATATATAGTGTATAGAATAATATTAATTTTTTCTGGTATTTAAGTGTATTTTTTTGTTTGTAAAATAATATTTGTAGGTCATATACATTAGCCAGTTACGAGCCAACCAACATTCTAAAAAATATGCGTTAAAACAGTCAAAATATATAGAAATTAAAACTAGAACTAATTAAATTAACATAGGTAGAACAACAGTATTAATCATAGTAAAGTATTAACTAAATAAAATTGTTTTCATAATTTAGCTACAAACCAATAAACATATAAAAAAACCATGCATCCAGGCAACAAATTCTTTATGATCCAACAGGTGACATACGCGACACTTGGAGCATTTTTTTTTTTTTTACTTGCAATAAACCAGTGCTTGACTGCGATCCCACCTGATGTTAAGCAGTGATGCAATCAATTTATCATCATAAGGACGATCGAGGAGTTAATGAAATTATTATATAGTCAAATTTAAAAATTGCTTGGCGATAAAACAGTTATTATTTTAGCATAGGAACTATCATGAGACATTCTAAGTACATTGATATAAAATAACGAATAAAATGACTCTAGAATGACTTGAAACGCGCTCTAAGTTAGTACATATGACTCGGAAAAAGTCACATTGGTACTTGCTAGTTTTCATAACAGATACCATAAAAGATAGCTTGATCTCTGCGACATTCGTCAAACTGACATTCCTAGGGTTGTCATGATACAAAAAAATATCGATAGTAATTTTCGACGTTTCTTACTTATCGATGCTAAAATTATATTTATAATTTGGGTACTAAAATGAAACGAATATTTTAATCTAAGATAAATTTCTCCAAAGGAGTACACCCCAAATCTATATCCGATTCACTTTCAGAATCTCCCGAAAACCAAAGTTGTCGAAAGGAATTTTACATGAGTAGGTTAGTATTTAAATTTTATTAACGCACTATTGTAAATAATGTTATTATTTTAAAATATACAATAAAATGAAATGATAAATTAATTTTGAATTAAGAAAAAATGTCGATAGTTTATAGGATGAGGTCACGATGATTCTTCCTCATCACTAATTAGGTCAGCATGCCCATAAAGTATGACATTGACAGCTACGTTTTCCGTACTGTTAAATTCAAAATTTCATAGGCGTGATTTTACTGACAGCTGTCTCAGAGATCAAGCTATCTTTTATTAAGTGTAATGTATAGTTACTTTTGTTTACCCTTAATAATATAAATAAAATAATACATACCTTCAATTCGACATTGTACATCGGTGAACTAGGATCGTCAATAATAGGTTCATCTGCGCACAAAACATCGAAACAAAAGCCGGGAGGCGGGGAGTATGTATTGAAAAGTACACCCGTAAATATGTCCGATGATTTCCCTGAAAACATTATGTCACATTATGTCACGTCAAGTTATGTCGTGACTTGATGTCATAAGACTTGATTAGACATATTGTAACATCACCTGATGTTATGTTACTTGACGTGACGTGAGTTTGAAATTACTTTCTTTTTTTCTATTAGAATTTCTCTTGTGTCGTGGTTGCGTTTACAAACATATAATTTTAATTTTACACAAACACACCACATCAAGGCCCTAACAACAATTTGTGGATCACTCAAGAGTTGTTCCGTGCGGGAGTCGAACCCGCTGCACGTTGCGCGGCAGCCAGTTTCCCAGCCGTCACACTAACCGTGCAGTCAATACATAATGTAACATTATATCACGTCAAGTTATGTCATGATTTGATGTCATAAGACTTGATTAGACATATTGTAACAACTCCTGGTGATTTTTTAATGGGGTTACTCTACAAGCGAGCCGACGGACTACCTGATGGTACGGCGCCACCCATAGACACCCGCAACATAAAATGAGTAACGAGCACGTTGCCGGTATTTTGGAAATTTAGGCATTGGGAAGGGATGGGGAGACGGGGAGGGCCTCCTGTAACCTAATCCACACAACTAACAAATACAGCGTTGTGTTTCCCCGGAAATCCAACCCTACCACATCGCTCCCAAATCGCTAAATCTCCAAACCCTAATCCCCAGAATACCGGCAATATGATCATAACTCATCTATTTACATTCTCATTGCGCTGATAGCTTAACCATCAGAAAACCCGCTAGCTCATTTAACGACCAATCACAAAAACATAAAAAAAAACAAATTAAAAAAAAAAACACACATAAAAAAACTCACCCAGAACATCGTCTCCCCTCCATACCATTTCCATATTTTTACCCTTCAACCTGGCCCTCTTATCCTGGTAGTCTATCCGACCTAGGAATAGCCCGTCATATCCCATCATGGCCAATAGGTTGGCGAACTCTCTGGAATGGCCGAAGGGGTCTATTTGCCAGCCAACATGAGGCCAACCACATTTTCCAAATGTGTCATTTAATTTTCTGGAAGAGATATAGGATAGTTTACGAGGCGCGTTTGCGAAATATCGACCTCTCTTTTGACGGGCAAAAAGACGACAAAAATTAAAATCATTTTTTTTTTATTTAATTGATCGGCAAACGAACGGATGACCTGCTGGTAAGCAATCAGCGCCGCCAATGGCCACCCGCAACGGAGGAGTTGCGAGTGCGTTGCCGACCTTTAAGGGATTTGGAGATTTAGGGTTTGAGAACGAATTGAGGGAGGAGAAGGATTGGGCCTCCGTTAACCTCACTCACACGGCGAAACACAACGCAGTGGCTGTTTCACGCCGGTTTTCTGTAAGGCCGTGGTATGGGTACAAATGGGTCGTCTCGGCCGGAATGATTCCACGGCCTCACAGAAAACCGGCAAACAACCACAGCATTGTATTTCGTCTTGTGAGTGATGTTATCGGAGCCCCAAACCCTCCCCGGGTTTTGGAGATTTATAATCTCCAAAACCCTAAAAGATCGGCAACGCATTTGTAACTACTCCGTTACGGGTATCCACGGGCGGCGCTGATTGCTTACCATCAGGTAATCCGTCTGCTCGTTTACCGACCTATTACATAAAAAACTTCTTACTTGAGTCCCCAAGTAAACTGATCAATCGTGCTTTGGTAATGAGAAGCGGCTTCATCATTCATACTCCAAGCTCCTCCAACCATCTGCAGGCGCCCCTGCCTGACCAAGGTATGAACCTTCTCCTGAATAACCGTCGGCTGACGGACCCACCACTTCCAGAAGAAAGCTGTTTCCACGTAAATGAATCTGCAAGGAAAACATCAAAAACTACCACTTGATACCTGATACATATTATAAAACAAAGTCGCTTTCTCTGTCCCTATATCCCTATGTACGCTTAAATCTTTAAAACTACGCAACGGATTTTGATGCGGTTTTTTTCATAGACAGAGTGATTGAAGAGGAAGGTTTATATGTATAATGACATCCATTAAATAGTGGAGAAGTTAATGGTTGACCACAAAGAAATGTTTGAGTCTTTTTGACAGTCATAAATTATGACATGCCGCGGCCGTCTTCTCTCGCACAGGGTGAGGCGAGAGAGAGTGTCAGACTCTTACTGACTAAAAACCCCCCGTTCCTTCTCCAACTTCAAGCCGTACATTATTGAACTTTCATCCACAATCCAACTATGACCCTAATACGGTTGGTAATATATTTCAGACAACCATTGCCGGTGCTATACATAAAAATAAATACCTTCTTTCAGGAGACTCCCAGAGTTCTTTCACGACTGAATCCAAAATATACTGAACACCAGCCTTCTGAATATTGTTTCTACCTGAAAATTGTAAATATTTTCATTAAATAAAAATACTGAAATTAAAACACATACACTCGCAAACACACACACTTTCTTTTTTTCCCTTTTATAAATATGCGGGACAAAAATTCTCGTCACATTATTTTGTTCATTGTTAATAAAGTTTTTATTATTTCCAAGCTTTTGCCCGGGACTCCGTTCGCGTGGAATAGTGACTTCCAGCAGATTTTTGGTATAAAAACTATCCTATGTCCTTTCTCGAGTTCCAAAATATTTCTGTACCAAATTTCACAGATATCGGTTCAGACAGATAGACAGAGTTATTTTCGCATTTATAATATTAGTTTGGATTATAAAGAGGTTGTATGATGAGGAGTAGTTTGTATGTAGGAGGTAATCTTTGGAACCGCTGGTCGGATTGCTAAAATTATTTCACTAATAGATAGCTACAACATTTGTCTTTACTATTATATTATAAAGAGGTAAAATTTGTAAGTTTGTATGTAGGGGGCAATCTCTGGAACCGCTGGTCGGATTGCCAAAATTCTTTCACTGATAGATAGCTACAATGTTCCTGAGTGCTATAGACTATAAAACATCACGCTACGATCAAACGGAGCCGAGGAGCGGGCGAAACAGTGGGAGAGTAATTAGTTATTAATAAAGTTTTCATTTTTAACTTACTTCCATAATAATATTGGTCGACTGTCTTCAGCCATCCAACGTCGTCGTGTGTATGTGGAACAATATGCACGTTCAGCATATTAGGAGATGTAGCCGGGCAGCTCTGTAATATGAAACAATTTTTTTCATGTTATTATACGGCAAACGAGTAAATGGATTACCTGATGGTAAGCAATCAGCGTCGCCTATGGACACTCGCAACAACTGAGGAGTTACGAGTGCGTTTGCCGACCTTTTGGAGGATAGGGATTTTGGAGATTTTGGGATTGAGGAGGGATTGGGGGAGGGGAAGGATTGGGCCGCCGGTAACCTCACTCACACAGCAAAACACAACGCTATGGTTGTTTCACGCCGGTTTTCTGTGAGGCCGGGGTATCGCTCCGGTCGAGCCGACCCATTCGTGCCGAAGCTTGGCTCTCCCACACTTGTTTATTTCTATTGTATTATTTACAGGTGTAATGCAACATCACGATGCTATTACTGGGACGGAAAAACAGCACGTCACACATGACTATGAAAGACTGTTGAGCCAAGCTATCGATGATGCTATCATCATAGCCAAGCAAGCGTTCAAGTAAGTTTACATTATATATTTTCTTTTAATTTCATAGGTAGGCAAACGAGCAGACGGATTACCTGGTGATAACCTCGACGGTAACGGTAATATTGTAACATGAGTTAACATGTCATAAGTGTGGGAGAGCCAGCTGAATAGGAGTTATACCACAGCCTCACAGAAAACCGTCGAGAAACAACCACAGCGTTGTGTTTCGCCGTATGAGTGAGGTTACCGGAGGCCCAATCCTCCACCTCCCCCAATCCTTTATCCCTAATTCCAAATCCCCAAAAGTTGGGCCACTGGTAAGTCCCCTTTCATTCCAGGCAAATGAGCAGACGGATTACCTGATGGTAAGCAATCAGCGCCGCCCATGGACAATCGTAGTACCAAAGGAGTTACTACAAGTGCGTTGCTGGCCTCTTGTGGGATATTAGGGATTTCATCATCATCAGCCCATAAGTGCCCACTGCTGAGCAAAGGCCTCTTCTCACACGAAGAAGGTTGGAGCATTAATCACCACGCCTGCTCAGTGCTGGTTGACGATTGGTTGACCTGGTTTCCTCACGATGTTTACCTTCACCGTATGTCAGTGGTGTCTAAATAATCGTAGAAAGTACATATAACTCGGTAAAAGTCACATTGGTACTTGCCAGGTTTCCAACCCTCATGCCACCACGACGACTATTAGTGATTTACGGATAGGGTATTTGAGGTTTGAGAATGGGGGTGGGGATTGGGCCTCCGGTAACCTCACTCACACGGCGAAACACAAAGTAAGTACCTATTGCTTCACGCTGATTTTCTGTGAGGCCGTGGTATCACTCTTGTGGTATACCTAAGCTACTAATCTATGAAAACAGAAGATAAATAAGAACAGAAGATATTGATTGGCAACTCACCTCATATCCACATTTCTCTTTGCTGGAGAGGTACGACTCCTCGAGTGGCACTAGCTGAACGCCACCAAGACACAACAGAAGCAAAAGATACTGCATTGTTACCTAAAAATTTAAATTCATAAATTAATTTTAAAAAGCTGTTACATTTTGCCTCGTCATTTATACCGCGTACATCGAGGGATTGGAACAGTTTGCCGGCTGCAGTCTTTCCGTCCGAATACAATTTAGGTGTCGTCAAGGCTAGAGTGAATAAGCTCTTAATAAACTAGTGCACCTTACCATCAACGATTGCATCACTGCTTACCATCAGGTGGGATCGCAGTCAAGCACTAGTTTATTGCAAGTAAAAAAAAAACATTATTATTCGTTAGACTAGGGGAATATCGGTCATGCTCACAGAAAGGTCACACTGGCGGTGACACGGGCACTGGATCGCCCAATTCCCTATAATATGGTTGAGTTTGGCGACGCTGGTGTACGTGTCATGTTCGTGAACGGGCGCCGTCAATTGGGACTGGTCAGCTCTGGACTGTCTATTGTACTTAAGGTTATTTTCTTTTTATATTTCTCTGAATTAGTGTTACTCTGTTCTCATAAATTTGTATAAGGAGTCTGTATGTGAAACTGATTTAAAAAGAGTAACCATGGAGTTTCTTGCTCGTTCTTCTCCATAGGAATCTACACTTTGGAACGAGCAAATAGCTTCACTAAGAGGACTGACCGACAGACTGACACTTTATATCCTTAAAAATTTTTTGACGTTCAAAAGTGCTTGATTTCGATAAGCGTCTAATTGAAATGAATGATTTTGAATTGACTTTGACTTTGATTTTGGCTGAATTAAGATCAAGCTAACTATCTTGACTTAGCTCATGAGATTGTCGACATATGGAAGAATAATAAAAACTTTTTAAGGCCAGACAAATGTTAAAATAAGAATGTGAGAGGACCGTGCAAATTAATTCTGTAGTGGTCTTTTGAGGAAAGAACCACACCAATTTAAGTTTCAGCCGGGGTTGCGGGGTTAGCGCAATGAGGCACCGCGACCTCGGCCTAGAGCAGGAGAAGGAACAGGGGGGTTTTAAGCCAGTAAGAGTCTGATACTCCCCGCCCGGCCCTGGGCGGGAGAAGTCATTTGATGATTTTCCCCTCACAGAAAAAAACACCAATTTAATTTACCTCATTCTTGCTCTCCCCCAATCCCTTAATCACCGAAACCCCATCCCAATAGGCAGGCAACGCAGCGGGGGCAGCGCTGTTGCTTACCATCAGGTAATCCTTGACAAATCAGACCGTAATTTATGAACGCGTCTAGACTAAGCTATTGTTTTTACCAGGGTAAAAAGTACCACACATGTTATTCCAGACTATAATCTATCTCTGTGCCAAATTACATTCAGATCCGTTCAATAGTGTTTACGTGAGAGAGTAACAAACATACATCCGTACTTACACACTTTCGCGTTTATATAATTTGTAGGAGTGTGATAAAAATATATATTTTTAAAGTTAATTATATATTATTGAACGCGATGTGAATAACCTCTGGAGATATTTACGGTTATTGACCTGAGTATATAAACATTGATTGAAGATTGTCATATTTATAAGTATCATAAATCTATATCACTACATAGTATAAAACAAAGTCGCTTTCTCTGTCCCTATATCCCTATGTACGCTTAAACCTTTAAAACTACGCAACGGATTTTGATGCGGTTTTTTAATAGATAGAGTGATTGAAGAGGAAGGTTTATATGTATAATGACATCCATTAAATAGTGGAGACATTTAGTATCAGCATTGCACCCGTGCGAAGCCGGGGCGGGTCGCTAGTCCAAACTAATATTAAATGCGAAAGTAACTCTGTCTGTCTGTCTTTTCTTCACACCTAAACTACGGAACCGATTTCTGTGAAATTTGGTACAGACATAGTTTGGAACTCGAGAAAGGACATAGGATAGTTTTTATACCAAATCTGCTGGAAGTCACTATTTCACGCGAACGGAGTCGCGGGCAAAAGCTAGTAAGTATATAAAAATTGATCTTGGCATCGCGCGTGAACGGCTAGACTGTCTCCAATAAATTCTTCTTATATTGTGTTTGCTAAGATCAGTAGAAGGTTCTTATATAATAACATTTTAGAACAGTATTCGTTGTGTGCGCGATGACAGCGCCCCTAGTGGCCGCAACTATTCAGGACTTGTCATCTGTCAAATCATGTCAACTAGATGATAAGATATTGATTTTCGACTAGCTTTTCAACGAAATTGAAAAAAATAGTGTAAAAAGTGAGTGTGTATATTATACCTAGCGATTTTCTTCCTCGTGAAAAATATAGATATTATAATATGTAAGGGAGGATTTGAATTTTAATTTTTTTCACAGCAGCTATCCATTTTTTTCTTTGCTGTAACGTCCACTTTGATGTTGGAAACGAATAAAACTTGCACGAACTGTTTTTCCCATAGTTTTTACAATTTACGACACAGCATGTACTATGACCCATATCGCAATTTTTTACGTTTTAACTTAAAATTATAAATGTAGGTACGAAAATAAAGCAATTTGACACATGACAGTCCAGAATTAATTCACATTTCTGCCACGTCGCGCGCTACGATCGATTTGCCGTTCCACCACCCACTTCGCACATAGCGAATAGAGAAATAGTAACCCTTTCGATACAGTGGCGGTTCGTTAACAAAACAAATGAATAACACCGAGGCAGTTAGACACCCGTTCAAAGGGTCGGGTCGGTAATTAGTGACTTATACAGGGTGTAAAAAGACACTTAACGAAGCCGAAAGCCACGTATTCTACCCATTATTTGGATCATTTTTTTCTTTAAGACCATAGCTGGGACTCCGCGGGTTCTCGAGATATTGAAGGTCAAAGATGCATTTTTTTTTTTTTGCGCTATCGAATTGTAAATATTATTACAAAACTTTTTTCCAAACAAACATTACCCGAATTTTCGATTTTTCTAAATAAATTACGCATTTAAAGTTACGAACAGTAATGTACGTAATAAATAAATGCAGACCCGCACAAAAAACATCGTGCATCTCAGTAGGATTTTTATTTTACAGAATTGTTTTGTTGTTAATGCTAAGCTGTGAACCTACGCACACAATGACACGAAGCCCGTTTGCTTTACATTGCGCGCAATAAAAATATTATATTTTGATACCTTAAAATAAGGGTCGTTTCCCAGTGATAATTTTAGCGTAAAGCTACTTAGTTAGAACTGCAGTATGCGTAGTTAACGGCTTCGTTAAGTGTCTTTTTACACCCTGTATTTAAACACGTATTTGTGCTCATACATCAATTGGGTAGTTTCCAATGTCAAAAATATATCAATTCGACGTTTTAAAACAATAAAATATTGAAAAATAACTATAGGTACTTTGTTTATCGATCGATCAAAAACACAAAATTTCAGAAATTGTTTTAGCTAGTTATTAAAAAAAAGTTAAGCTGTTTGACGAAAAAAATACTAGGTAGTATTTTTTTCGTCAAATAGCTTAATTTTTTTGACGTCATAACTCAGTGTTTCAAACAAATTTCATAGAAAAGTATAGTGACATTTAGATAAAAGTATTGAATTTGACTAGTTTGAAACTACCGTATTCTGATATAGCTAGCAGGTAATATAAAAATAAAACTATTGAGTAAAGTTTTTTGTTATCATGAGTACTATCATGTGTTTAAATATCTGTCACTGATTACCAGTCACCCCCATAAACACGACAACATCTAACTGCCATACCGGGTAAACATGTACCTAGCCCATAACCCCAGCTGTAATTAATAACGTCTATGACACTTTACCTAAGTAACATGAATCTACAATAATTAGGTATAGAAAGTAAGCCAATTGCTCATTGGCCCAGAACGTTACTGACACAGTTATGCGAGCACAACCACAGCGTTGTGTTTCGTCGTGTGAGTGTAGTTACCAAAGGCCCAATCCTTCCTGTCCCTCAATCCCTAATCCCCAAAAGGTCAGCAACGCACTCGTTACTCCTCTGTTGTACATGTATACATGTATATAAGAAAGAAAGAAAAACCATTTATTTCACACACAAATGATGCAAGAAACAAACATACACGAATATAGTTAAAGAGGGACAAAACAAGCAATGACATAAAAGAAAAAAAAAGAAAAGCACTAAAATTGCGTCACTCATGCGTGAAAAAGGGCAGTGCTCAGCATAAATGCTGTGTCTCGCGCACGCAGGCACGATACAACAGCGCTGGTTTTCAGCACTGACCCTCCACGCGTCCTTGCCTCGGGACTATAAAAATATTGACGCCGTTTCGGCATTACTAAATAAAATAAAATAAGTCATTTATATCAGGCACCTAGCTTCACTGACGAACAGACAACTGTTCTATTTTGACGTTTTAAAAGGACCTATTTATGCTTTGCTTTAGTTGGAATAATTGATTTTGATTTGACAGGTAAACCTACACAGGTTTACGTTTGCCGACCTATCACATAAAAAAAACCACAGCGTTGTGTTTTGCCGTGTGAGTGAGGTTACCGGAGGCCCAATCCCTGCCCCTCCCCCTTCTCTTCCCAATCCTTAATCATCCAAAACCCTTATCCCTAAAAGGTCGGCAACGCACTCGTAACTCCTCTGTCGTTGCTGGTGTCCATGGACGGCGCAGATTACTTACCATAAAATAATCCGTTTACTCGTTAAAAAAAACCACCAGGCGAAATAGTTGCCAAACGAGCATACGGATTACCTGATGGTAAGCAATCGGCGCCACCCATGGACACCCGCAACACCAAATGAGTTACGAGTGCGTTGCCGGCCTTTTGGGGATAGGGGTTGCGGATAAAAGGAACGGGAAGGGATAGGAGAAGGGGAGGGATTGGGCCTCCGGTAACCTCACTCACACGGCGAAACACAACGCTTTGTTGAGTCACGCTAGTATTCTATGAGGCCGTGGTATCACTCCGGTCGAGCCGACCCATTCGTGCCGAAGCATGGCTCTCCCACACTTAAAATTTATCGATACATTATTTAATTTTCTATTTATTTTCTAAGAAATTACTATGCCATTTAACTCAAATAACGTCGTAAACCTTACGATTTTAAATAAATTTTCATAGAAAAGTATCCATTTTTTGACATTATAATAAAAGTATTTAATTTGACTATGTTATGTTACTCTGTTACTCTTCCCTATGTCACTGTTTACGTAATTCACTACTAGATGGCGTTACGTAATGCGTCAAAACAAATTGATCATAAAGTACGTATTGTTATTGCTAATTTTCATTTTGTTTACAGTTTAAACGAAATAAGTGACCATATATTTTATATAGGTATATTGTTTTAAAAGACGGATGATTAGTACATCAGGAACATTGTAGCTTACTATCATTCAAAGAATTTAGGCAACCCGACCAGCGGTTCCAAAGATTACCCCCCCACATACAAACTTAGAAATAATACCTCTTTATATGTAAATTTATATCTATGCTGTCTAGCATAGATATAAATTTTTCGTGTCACAATGTTAGTTAGTTACCTTACTCCTCCGAAACGGCTTTAATGTTTTTTACCAAATCTTGATATATATATGCATATTCAGTAGGTCTGAGAATCAATTACTGGCTACATTTTATACCCCTAAATGATAAGGGTTGTTCAACCTTAACATATTTTCGAAATATGTGTAAGAGTGCCATGCTTCGGCACGATTGGGTCGGCTCGACCGGAGTGATACCACGGCCTCACATAAAACCGGCGTCACAACGTTGTGTTTCGTGTGAGTGAGGTTACCGGAGGCCCAAACCTTCCCATCCCCCAATCCCTAAATCTCTAAATCCTTTATCACCAAAAGATCGGCAACGCACTCGTATCTTTGTTACGGGTGTCCATGGACGGCGCTGATTGCTTACCATCAGGTAATCCGTCTGCCCGTTTGCTGACCTATACCATAAAAAAATTAATGAACCAATAGCTTTGAAATTTTACAAACGTAGAAGTCCGGATTAAATAATAGGATACTTTTCATCCCGGAAAAGTTATATTCCCAAAATATTAGCTTCACACCAGTTCCGCATCATGGCCTCAACTAAGGCCGGGTGCGGCAGGACGCCGCCGAAAATGTGCCTTAACGACGGTATTTTTAAGTTAATAAACGTGACCTCATTTAGTTTTAAAATAATTTTGATAAAAATGTGCCTTTACGACTGTATTTTTTTTAGGTTAAAAAACGTTGATTTTTATTATTCTAAAAAAATC